TCGTAATTCAGTTGGTGTACCGACTCTTACTTTATGCTGAAGAGCTTGGACTGTATACGCTTGCTCTACTGTTGATGAATTTTTTTCAAGAATTCTCACACTGAGTGCTTTTAAGATTTAACAGGATGTTGAAGAAGTGGATATCTTGGGTAAGTCCCAATGATGTTAATTGATGCTGTGAATCTGTTTGTAGTTTATTTGTCAGGTGGGAGATTATGGATTGGATTTGATAGTGGGATGTTCTGGTGAGAAATTGGAAAGGTTTTCCCATAACCTGGTTGGCAAGCGTCAGGTTAAATGTATTTCAGGTGTGATTGCAGACTTGATGTTTAGAGCGGGGATTTCATTGGTTACATCTGTTAAACAGTACACATGGTTTGTTTTCTCTGCCGTGTTCTCACAATGGCTCAGCAAGGGGAAGGTGTGAGATGACTGTGATGCAGTGTTTATCTCATAGCTCTGATATCCCTGACCTTAGGAGTAGATGGCATCCAGACGGATAGCCTCCAGGTACAAGGAGGCTGGACTGTCAGGTAGAGCTGGGTGGGCTTCAGGTAGATGGAGCCTGGACTGTCAGGTAGAGGTGGGTGGGCTTCAGGTAGAGGGAGGCTGGAGCGTCAGGTAGAGGGAGACTGGACTGTCAGGTAGAGGTGGGTGGGCTTCAGGTAGAGGGAGACTGGACTATCAGGTAGAGTTGGGTGGGATTCAGGTAGAGGGAGGCTGGACTGTCAGGTAGAGTTGGGTGGGCTTCAGGTAGAGTTGGGTCAGCTTCAGGTAGATGGAGCCTGGACTGTCAGGTACAGTTGGGTGGGCTTCAGGTAGATGGAGCCTGGACCGTCAGGTAGAGGTGGGTGGGCTTCAGGTAGAGGGAGGCTGGACTGTCAGGTAGAGGTGGGTGGGCTTCAGGTAGAGGGAGGCTGGACTGTCAGGTAGAGCTGGTGGGCTTCAGTTACAAGGAGGTTGGACTGTTAAGCAGGGCATCATGTGTTTTCAAATGAGGAGCAGCTCCTGATCTATATCTGATTTGAAATATATATGGTTGGTTGCTCATGATAACCCAGCCTAAAATAAGAGTAGGTACCATATTTTCTATTTGTGACTATAAAATTTATTGCTCAAATATTCTGTGATGAAATCCACCAACAGGATCAGCAAACATTTGATATCAAAAGCAACATGAGGATTTGTTAATGCTGTAATGAAAGTAATGGTAATCTTGCGAAACCAATTTTAAAGGAAATACTTTGAAGTCACCCTGGAGATTATCAAGCAGAGAGTCAGGGCACCCTTCACTACACACGGTAATGAGCGTAACAAGAAACAGGTTCCCTTCATCTACCACATCCATGTCATGCAACACTTCCTGTCTCGTGAAGCACACTTCAAGTGCTATTATGCAAGTCAAGAATTCCTTGTTATGCTCCAATTAAAGGGTTTCAAGATGCTATTGCGGAAACACAATGGCCTGAGGTCATCCTTTAATTTTTTGTACACACAATGGCCTGAGGTCATCCTTTAATTTTTTGTACACTTATAATGAAAGCAATGGATATCATGGATAACAGCTTGGTGATACAGAACACTCTGATGTGTTTCATATATCTGCAGTAATAACCTTGTTATACACTATGTGATGGTGATGCAGGGATGGATATCAACCAGGGCCATCACCAGCCAATAGTGATAACTAGAATTATAACCCGCAAAATGTCTACTAGCCTTCAGAACAACAGTGACAACATAGTCATTGGTTGGTTGTTTAACGCCATACTCAGCAATTTTCCGGCTATATGGTGGTGGTCTGTAAATAATCACAGAGGGGTTGAAAATTTTGTCAAAACTCAACTGGACACATTTCCATTAAACTTTCAAAATCCTCTTGACCAAATATTAATTTGACTTGACCAATTATCAATTTGGTTTCTTTTGCAAATAATCTTTATCAATTATAAACAACAGAACAGCTAATAAATCTAAACTTTGCAAATGGCGATTGAAAAAATACAATGCAAGAATACGCTAGGAAAACAAAACACATACGCTAGTTTCATCATCAAAATACATATATCATATAACGTTTCAGTAGTCTGGCACTACTGTACCACAGTAAAGTTTAATGTGTATATTTACTTGACCGCCCGGAGAATTCCACTCGACAAGGGCGTCGGGCAATGGTATTTTGCAATCCCTGATCGAGTCTGGACCAGACAAGCCAGTGATCATCATCATGAGCATCGTTCTACGCAATTGGGATACGATGACATGTGTCAACCAAGTCAGCGAGCCTAGATAACAGTCAGGACTATGGGGTAGTGTTTTGAATTCTCCTGTGTTGTACTGAACAGGATTCAGGAGTGTGAATACTGAACTATATCCTGCAATTAAGTAAAAGTATATTATTTCTCTTAGGTTATCAAAAATAACCTTTGGGAGATTAATAGTTAATATTGAGCATCATTACATCCACCTGGTGCTGATTTGAGTTAAGCTTGGTTATAAAGATCATGGCATATTGCCAATATTTATACTGTACATGCCTCCCATGAAGGGTTAAACCTAAATTGGGCCAGTCATTGGAGTTATGTCATTTTAGACCAATTGGTCAGAATGGTGGATAGCCTAGGTAAGGTATTGGCTCATCACACCAAATATGCAAGTTGAAATCCCTAGGATGATCTTATTTCTAGTGTCTCGTGCTGCAAATATGGATGAAATATTGCTAAAATCCATAACCACTGTTAATATCAGTCGAATAAATCTGGGAAATATTGGAAACGGCAGAACCCTAAATTCCTCTGATATGTTTTAATCCAAAGATAAGCATACAGTTCTGGTTGCAGTTAGTTGCGAGGGAGTTATTGATAACACGCTGAGGATGTACAGGGAGATGGGTTCCAAGTGACTGGAACAGGTTCCTGATGAAAGGTGGAGATTGGCTTGTAAATATCAGGGGATGGAGAAATGAGTGACACGGTTCCTGCTTATGTTGATTTCACTTCCTGGGCTGCAAAATTTCATCAAACCAATCTAGAAACTTGTGCTTTGTCTATCCTAACAAAGTGATCAGCATGTGTCGGCCATTGTTGAATTTTAGCACATGTTACCTGGTTATTGTGTGGGATTCATGTCTATTGTTATATCGGAGAGTATGTTGGTGTTGGATGTATAATTTGCATAATGATTATTGAAGAATAATAATGGAAATTGGATACCATGAATTAGTTTGTTATATTATCATTTATATACAGCATATGTTTTCTGTGAAATGAGGGCTCTGGGGTAGCCTCGAGGTTAAAATGTTTGCTTGTCATGTACAATATGTGAAGCCTATTTCTGGTGTCATCCTACTGTGGTATTGCTGGAATATTGCTAAAAGTGGCATATAACTAAAGTCACTCACTCACTCACTCACTCACTCACTCACTCACTCACTCACTCACTCACTCACTCACTCACTCACTCACTCACTCACTCACTCACTCACTCACTCACTCACTCACTGTGAAATGGAGAGTAGTCGGTGTCTCTGTACAGACACTACCCCTGTAGTCTGGAGGATAGAGCATCTGCCTGGAGAACCGAATGTCCGATCCCCAATAGTGTCATACGTAATGACTTTAAATGATCTTACTTGTTTTAACCTAGACTAACACTTAGTGTCTGAATATATATTTTTTTGATAGTAACATATACACCCATGTCACTTTCGCTCGTTATATACCAAACCATTCACTCGTTTCATAAATATGGTATTACACGGGACATCGTTTAGTATTCTCTATATCTATCTCAGTGGGCTAGCATTATAACATTTCTCCTGAAGTGTACAAGACACATGTAGCCACACATCGCTACATCAGTGTAATAATCATGCTCGCGATGTTCAACACCACTTCATATAAGTTCGTACAGTTTGTTTGAAACAGTCTGTTTCTAATATCTGGTCCAGACATGACACAACTGATATTACAGAAGCTTTATTGTGCGATGTCTGTTGGTGAAATAGACAAACTAGCTGCTGCCGCTGGTGTTAGAATACCTGTCCTGAACAGATGTGACAGGTGTTAATAGCAACGTTGTACCATCAAGCTCTAATGAATGACAGGAATGTTGCCAACAGCCTCAGTGTGGGGATATATGTGGTATGTCAATCGTAACACGTTTCTTGGCTCAAAATAAGCTTGAAAACGTGGTAAATTTCCCTGATTACCAAACCCAGCACTTCACAAATTGATAAAACATAATGCTGATGCATGTTAATATGATTTTCTGGGTGCATTAAATTCTTCTGCAGAGATGACGTAGAGTTTGGTGAAGAAGTAACATTCATTTAGGAAACAATTAGCATAATTAACAGCTGGGAAAAAGGATCAATATGACATGAAATTTCTTTCTTTCTGCCTTTGACAGTTTTATAGTGGGGAAGCCTAGTGGTTAAAGTATTCACAGGTTTTGCTGGATGGTCACAGGTTTTGCTCCCCTGAAGGGATGGTCAGAAGAAAGTATACCCCCTGAAGGGATATTTTCTGGAAATCGGTAAAGAAACTCACCCAAAGACATACCCCCCACGGTGACAGTTGTAACTAGTTACGCATATTCTTATTTCTTAAGATAATATGCTAATACCTACCTTTAATTTTTTAAGAACAAATGGAATATGACGTGACATTTTCACCCACATTTTCATTGTAAATAGCGTTTTTTGGGTGTGTTTGCCTGCCATCATCCCTTGACAAGCATGACGAGTGCGCATGTATGACTTGAAACTTTACTACAAATCTATTGGTGGTAACAGTTATTTGATGAAGTGTGGTCATGCATGATGTGTGGTCATGCAAGTTATAGCATGACACGTGATGATGTCTTCAGAGGCGGTACTGATGAATGTTGTTTGAGTGAGGTTGAGTGGATTAGGAATCTGATATTTTCTCTGTTCAGCCTTAGATGTAAATCATTCGTCTTTATTTCTTGTATATATCTGACTGTCTTTTTTGTTTCAGAGTGACGGAAACGCTGGCTTTCTTCGAGAAGCGCGGGATGGAAACCTCAATGAGGTTTTGGAGTACTTGAAGGGAAGTACCGACATCAACACCAGCAACCCGGTAGGTCACACGCGGACTAGCCACATTGTCAATACAGCCCAAAGAGGTTGAACCTCACGCTGTCTTGGTTTGTCTACTCCAACTCAGTACAATGCCACTACCTGTGGCATAAAAGCTGTTTGTTTTTTCCCTGCTGTTTAATTCCTGTTTCAACTATGTGCCAGCTACAGTGGTATATAGTCGTGTATGGATCAGACAATCCAGTGAATAATATTGAGAGCTGGGCTCTAATTCTTTGGTATTCGACAACCAATCAATCAGTCATGCCTGACCACCCAATCTATAACTCACCTTTTACAACCAGCATTTTTTTACCCAGAATCTCTACAGGGTAGTCTCATATGACAAGCATGGGTTGTATGGAATATATTTTAACCCAGAATTTAGGGTTTACCTCTTCAGAGCAGGACAGACTGTCAGGATCGCCTTGGAAGCGAAAAGTTTCATGGCTTAAAGTCACCATTCTACAAAGTTTTAGATCATTGTAATACCTTTGTGTGAGATCAAAACACTCACACCCAGTGGCCAATCCCCACGGACCAATCCCCTCACAATGACTTTGAGCTTGAGTCTCAGATCAATGGGATCCGGCTATGGTTCTCATTGAATGACTTGCAGAACTGAGTGACAGTCATCAGTGTTTTTTTCCAAAGATAACAGTTTTTGAGAAACCTCTCCTTCAGCTGCTGTGTCAACCCAGCTGATAACAAACAGGATATACCTACCCTTTACTACAGGTCTCAATAAGGACAAGACATGTGTACAGAACTGTCACACTTCCAAGTGTGTTCCACGTTAATAAGTATTTATGAGTCCTAGCATGTCGAGGTGCCTTGTAGGATTTACTGACAAGAGTGAAATGAACACTATCATATAAGTGTAAGATCAGTCCAACCTTTGTGTAGAGTAACATACAAGTCAGTACAGTGTTGTTATGTGCATGATGTCTCATGTCACCATGACCCAGAGGAGTTGGTTGTTGTGTTGTTCAACCACCAGTTTGCATGGCCCAGATGTGATTATTGTCAAGTCCCCCACATGGGTACAATGTGTGAAGCCCATTTCTGGTGTCCCCCGCCGTGATGTTGCTGGAATATTGCTAAAAGCAGCGTAAAACCAAACTCAGTCAGTCAGTCAGTATTGTCAAGTCCATGATACAGGCGGAATATTGTGGACTGCGTAAAACAACCTTCATTCACCTCATACATATACATAGAGATTTACCTTGAGTCCTGTATTTGAGGGTCCCTGGGACTCATACTCTTAATTTTCAGGGGTCCTGGACTACAAAATGGGCGTCCCAAACACTTAAATATTTTATTAATACTGTTATTGTATTGTGAATCATGTTCATCAGATTATTAATTGTTACAGAAATTAAATTTCAAATAATACCATAACCCAGCTAGTAGCAACCTCAGATAACTTATTGTTACTTGATTGGAATTCTTACAAAAGGTATTTGGACTTTTTCTGCGTCCCTGTGGATGCGCTAATAAATTTTCGTTGCATCCGTTGTCAATTTTTATGAGTATAGGACGCAGGAATTCGCGCCCTGTAAATCCCTGTATACAGAATCATCACTGTCAGTAAAGCAAACAATTTATTAGTTTGCCACCTTATGGAATGCTACTCTTATTCCTTAAGCTAGTGATCTCTAGCCCACTTTTATGCTGTGTTTGTCAATGAATAGCTTAATAGTTTAATTTTCTGAAACTAGTTTTAATAATGTATGTCTTATGTGTCATTCTGTTAGTTAATCTTTTATAAAGTATTCTAAGCTATATTCTTAATTTATGAATTTCTGTCGTCACGATATGGCTGAAATATTGCCGATGTGACATTAACTTTTAACTCACTCCTAAAGCTAGCTCTCCAAAATGGGAGGTTTTGCTGTGCATGACGAAATCAGGTTTCATTAGAACTAAAACTAACAAAAACATACAATAATGACCACTGTGACAAGTGTGGATAGGCAATACAGCATCCAAAATATACAGGACTGTGACGGAAGGTCACCAGGAGGACATGACGGAGGTATGCCATGTTATGTTCCACAATAAACAAGTTATTATTGCTGCCAGTTCCACTTTGGGATTCCATAGTCTGAGAGCCAAGTTGTTGGAGCTACAGACACTCATCTGGGGACTAACCCAAGAGTTTCAAGGGACATAGTCAAAACAACTGATGTTCTTAACCAAACAGTGTCGATCACCAGTAGGTGTATACGGAGAAGCCAGCCAGGCTTATCCAGCTCTGCGATGCCATATAACACACCGTATAACACGCCGGTACATGTGCTATATGCCGGTACTGAGTTTCAGTGTTTGGAGTCAGTGTGCGATGTTGTGGAAATACCTGAATCTGGTGCCAGCATGATGTAGATGCTTGTCTCATGTAGACAGTGTCAGACTGTATTGGATCATACATGTTGGGTATAACCATGGTTGTCATGGTATCCAACCACACGGCTCAGCCTTCCGTGTACTATTCAATGAAGTTTTACTTTTGGTCAAATCTTTTGCTTGTCATGATTTCTTGTCATGTAGCGATTTTACATAGAGTCAAGTTGTTGGTTTGAAATGGACCCTGTCAAATCATGGTTGAACCTTTTGGTCAAGTCTTGTGCTTGAAATGGACCGTGTCAAATCATGGTTGAATGTTTTGGTTAAGTCTTTGACTTTGACATGTGATGAAGTCAAATCATGGTTGAACATACACTCAAGTGTTTGGCTTACCATCTCTCACTGCCAAAAGATTGCTTACATGTGGTCAAGTCGTTGGTTTTCTGTGTGACACTGTCAAGTCATACCCCTACGTATGGTTGAGTCTTTGGTTTACCATGTAACCCTGTCAAGTCATACCCCGACATATGGTTGAGTCTTCGGTTTACCATGTAACCCTGTCAAGTCATACCCCGACATATGGTTGAGTCTTTGGTTTACCATGTAACCCTGTCAAGTCATACCCCGACATATGGTTGAGTCTTCGGTTTACCATGTAACCCTGTCAAATCATGATTTTGCATCTGTTCAAGACTTGGCATACCATTTAACATCTAAACTTCCATGTAAACATGAGGCTATAAGATATAAGTAAAATGCATACCCACGATACCTCAATCATATGAAAGTAAATGAATTGTGACATGAATTCTGATAATCAGCCATGTCAGTTTCTAATGATATAAAGTCTGATTTCTGTGTTTTCACTACAAGAACTCCGAGCCTGTAACTTGAAGCTGAATCTTTGGATCATTATCATGCAGTGTCTCCTCCAGGTCCTGTAACTTAATACCTGACAAATCCTGTGCAAGTCTGTAATAACAGTTAGGCACGTCTAGATGTTAAAACATTTTTAAAACATGAGATAATTTGGCATTCTTCATTCATATATCAAAACAAAACAAAACAATTCTTCTTTTTCATTTGAGAAATTAAGTGTCAATGATGTTACATTAATCAAGCATGAATGAATTACCTATATAAGAACCACAGAACAGTGATCAATCAACATGTACGCAATGTCAGATCCGGAAGAAATAATTCAATACCACTGCATTATGGCGGAACATCTTGCAACATCTGCCCTTTTCCTAACCGTTATAGCGAGAGTATCCCACTCAGGGCTTTCACACTTAGGGTTCCTCAATGGCGGATCATAAAATGGCAAAACTCATCTGAAAAGATAAACACAACAGGAGAGATATAGTTATCTTAACAAACGAGGAATCTCAGATATGTTGTGCAGGCCGCTCTCTCCAGGAGATTGATTTGTAGATACAGCAATCACCTGGAAACCAACAAGCCTTACATCAATTATATACCAGCTGACTTGGGGAACTGAAGTAGGCACGACCAGTCAGAGTGTAGCTGTTGCCTCTTGCTTGAAAATAGGTGATAACACATTTAGCTGATGGTAACCATCTATGAGTAGAACCTAAAGAAAAATAGCTGTATGGGAATTGATGCACTAGTTAAAAATAGTAGTGTTATACTGACTGACTGACTGAGTTTGGTTTTACGCCGCTTTTAGCAATATTCCAGCAACATCACGGGCGGGGAAACACCAGAAATGGGCTTCACACATTGTACCCATGTGGGGATTCAAACCCGGGTCTTCGGCCTGACGAGCCAACGCTTTAACCACTAGGCTACCCACCGCCCCCAGTGTTATACCATTACAACAGTTCGAGTTAGGTCAGCATGGTATGGTATTGTGGAGAGGCACTTTCGTCATTGTCCCTTCTCTACTGGTCATGAGATCTAAGACTAAATGCGTGTTTTACCATATTTGCCATTGAAGAATTATGACAATTTTTACGGACGCACAACTTCTTTTATTCTGTGAAGGGCGACGTTTCGACATAGATCCTAGTGTCGTTGTCAAGCAAGTGACATTAGGATCTATGTCGAAACGTCACCTTTCACAGAATGAAAGAAGTTGTATATCCATAAAAAAATTGTCATCATTCTTCATCAACTCAAATTCTAATATGCCCATCAAAGAAGATATATTTGCTATTGCAAAGGTACCATAGGCAGCTTGGACACTGGGAATTCAGGGCTAGATTCCTAGCAACCAGATGGTCTGGCTTGTTGGCCCGGTTGATAAGTGTCATTATACCATAACAGTGTCTATAGTTGTTTATAATATCAATCACAGGATTGTCTGGCCTCTGTCATATGGCTTGAGTATTGATTGCAGAGTTGAACAACAACAGACAAACAAGGCAGCGTGGATTGTGTTAGATTTGGTTGTTATGCAGCACTGATGATGTGTGTGATTTAAATTCAAATATATCATAGATATTTCAACCATATGTTAATGCTAGTGTAATGTAGTGTTAAGAGCTTGTTCCTTAAACTTGATAGGTAAATATCGTGGAAAACAGGCTGTATTTAATTGAAAAGGCATATAATTTATATGACTCGTACTGTGAATACATTTATTCCAATATGCTAAAGTGGCGTGATGTCATCGCAGGATCAGTTAGAAATGTATTGGTAGGAATACTGTCAATAAGATTAAAATGACTGCAAGATGAAGCATTAAAAATCAGAAAGTGTTCAGTTTGGATTGCAGTGAAGTGAGACAGTAAGTTTAGTTTTACGCCGCTTTTAGCAATACTCCAGCAATATCACGGCGGGGGACACCAGAAATGGGCTTCACACATTGTACTTATGTGGGGAATCAAACCAGAGTCTTCGGCATTATGGCGAACACTTTAACCACTAGGCTAGCTTACATTAAGCTGTGAAAGGAGATAGATTCTTTGAATATCAAGAGGATATTTCTGTAAATGCTAGCTTACTTTAGTTAAGAGGATGAAGAGTTTGGAAGTGACAGGTAGGATAAATTCAGATCAGGGTATAATTCTTATATTAAAATTAGTGTGTCAAATCCATTAATGTCCATATTGTCACTACAGCAAATATTCCTTTGTCAGTAGAAGTGAAGGAATGACTGTGCCACCCGGTATAATGCTATTTTGGTGGCAATATAACTGCTGTTTAACTGACCAATTACACAGAGGAGTGATTGCAAGTACTACAGCTGTCTTTATTGATCATTCTACACCAAGGTAACACTGCTTATTGACATTGGTCTTTTGTGCACTCAAGTATGTTCAGTACCGACTGGTAATGCCTGCCGCCAAGTCTTGTTGCCTAGCAACCAGACTGTAATGTACTAGATAGTTCATGGCACAATGAAACAAAAAGTGTAAGACTTGTGTCTTGCAGGTAATGTAACATGACGCTCTGCTAAAAAATTAGTAATTATTACTATGGTAACCTAAAAAATTGGGGTTACGGAATTGGAGTAAGAGTGAAAAAGTATCCTGCAGATCAGTTTTAGTAGCATGTGTGTAAATGTGGTGATGGAACCGAAATATCCATTATGGTATGTCAAGGACAGTGGCTTAGGATGATTGTGATTTATGCACACTGGATGGGAATATGATTTTAACCTGGATTGTTTGTAGAACATGTTGTGATGAAAAGGCCTTTTGAAGTGTTAGCGAGTTGTAAGGAATTATTGCAAGGTGGTGAATATATCTCAAGCCGGCAACAACCTGAGGCTGCATGCACCTCTTCTGCTGCATATTTTGGTCTATTTTGTATGTAAGGATGACTCAGCTATTTTAAGAGCTATCCCGAAACTCGTTACCTGTAGGTTTTTGTACCTACCATCACTGCTGTTTACTAAAATACTTTCCTCATGGCAGTGGCTTCAAGATGCACATGGCTGATGTTGAACTGTCACACTTATTAAGGTCTTATATTCAGTGTGTCCTGTAAATATCTGAAGTATTTAACATGATTTAACACACAAAAATGAGCATTCACAGATAAGGGCAAGGAACAAACCCTGAAACGTTGTGTATACAATAAAGAAGAAGTTGACATCCATAATATTTTGTCTTATACTTGAATACCAACTTCTATATGCCTCTCAAGAACCTCATTCACAGATATATTTCCATAAGATAGAGGAGATACAGCATACAGAAATATTGTTTCTGTGGTACAAGATATATGGTTGAGGTTTAAGTGAGGTAGGATACTTGAGGCAATATGTTGATGTGATGTATTGGTAGTGGTATGAGACTTGGTCGGCTGGATTTCACGTCCATTGTTTAGGTGACAGTGTGCATACCAGTACTGCACTCGTACATGTGTTGTAACTGTCATGATGCAATGACCCTGCGTGACATTCACAATACATAAGGGGGGGTGTAGTAGCCCAGTGGTTAAAGCGTTCGCTCGTCACACCAAAGACCCGGGTTCGATTCCCCATATGGGTACAATGTGTGAAGCCTGTTTCTGGTGTCCCCTGCCATGATGTTGCTGGAATATTGCTGAAAGCGTGAATCTAACTCACTCACTCACAATGCATAATATTTCAAAACTTTTATGTCAATTCGCGTTACTGTCATGAATTTTGTTCTCTGCAATATGAAGCAAGTATGCTTTGTGCCAGCCATGCTTCCAGAGATATTAGAAAAGTGTTGAGTTTCATACCCAATATTACACCTGTGAAGATCCGAGATAGAATTGGTTATGCGCAACCCATGCTTGTCATAAAAGGTGACTAACAGGATCTGGTGATCATGCTCGCTGACTTGGTTGACACGTCATTGTATCCTATTTGCGTAAATTGATGCTCATGCTGTTGATCACTGGCTTGTCTGGTCGAGACTCAGTTATTTACAGCCCGCCGCCATATAGCTGGAATATTAATATTGCTGAGAGTGGCGTTAAACAACAATTAAATATACCCTATATTGAGAAACCAAACCGTGACATTATTTAAGCCAAGCCAGCACTCTATAGATTGAGTTATCAAAAAAGATATGTTCCTGGTGAACTAGATCTAGGCACTTGTTACAATGCAGACGTCCTCTTGTGTTGCAGAATGGCCTGAATGCACTCCATCTGGCATCCAAGGAAGGCCATGTCAACATCGTCACTGAACTGCTGCGCCGTGGTGCCAACGTGGAGGCTGCAACTAAGGTGGGTGCTATTCCATAGTTATCTCCCCTTCAACCAATAGGGCATAGTTGTCTGCCCTTTGTGTTACTACAATGGCCTAGTTTTCTGGTCTGTGAGATAGTTATCAACCAACTGGACACTATGACATATTTACCTCCTTCAGGGTACTATAGCATAGTAATCTCCCCCAGGGTACTATAGCACAGTTATCTCCCTCAGGGTACTATAGCATAGTTATCTCCCTCAGGGTACTATAGCACAGTTATCTCCCTCAGGGTACTATAGCACAGTTATCTCCCTCAGGGTACTATAGCACAGTTATCTCCCTCAGGGTACTATAGCATAGTTATCTCCCTCAGGGTACTATAGCATAGTTATCTCCCTCAGGGTACTATAGCATAGTTATCTCCCTCAGGGTACTATAGCATAGTTATCTCCCTCAGGGTACTATAGCATAGTTATCTCCCTCAGGGTACTATAGCATAGTTATCTCCCTCAGGGTACTAGTTATCTCCCTCAGGGTACAGTTATCTCCCTCAGGGTACTATAGCATAGTTATCTCCCTCAGGGTACTATAGCACAGTTATCTCCCTCAGGGTACTATAGCATAGTTATCTCCCTCAGGGTACAGGCACAGTTATCTCCCTCAGGGTACTATAGCATAGTTATCTCCCTCAGGTACTATAGCATAGTTATCTCCCTCAGGGTACTATAGCATAGTTATCTCCCTCAGGGTACTATAGCATAGTTATCTCCCTCAGGGTACTATAGCATAGTTATCTCCCTCAGGGTACTATAGCATAGTTATCTCCCTCAGGGTACTATAGCACAGTTATCTCCCTCAGGGTACTATAGCATAGTTATCTCCCTCAGGGTACTATAGCACAGTTATCTCCCTCAGGGTACTATAGCACAGTTATCTCCCTCAGGGTACTATAGCACAGTTATCTCCCCTCAGGTACTATAGCATAGTTATCTCCCTCAGGGTACTATAGCATAGTTATCTCCCTCAGGGTACTATAGCACAGTTATCTCCCTCAGGGTACTATAGCACAGTTATCTCCCTCAGGGTACTATAGCACAGTTATCTCCCTCAGGGTACTATAGCATAGTTATCTCCCTCAGGGTACTATAGCACAGTTATCTCCCTCAGGGTACTATAGCATAGTTATCTCCCTCAGGGTACTATAGCACAGTTATCTCCCTCAGGGTACTAGGGTACTATAGCACAGTTATCTCCCTCAGGGTACTATAGCACAGTTATCTCCCTCAGGGTACTATAGCACAGTTATCTCCCTCAGGGTACTATAGCACAGTTATCTCCCTCAGGGTACTATAGCATAGTTATCTCCCTCAGGGTACTATAGCATAGTTATCTCCCCTCAGGGTACTATCAGGGTACTATGGCATAGTTATCTCCCTCAGGGTACTATAGCATAGTTATCTCCCTCAGGGTACTATAGCATAGTTATCTCCCTCAGGGTACTATAGCATAGTTATCTCCCTCAGGGTACTATAGCATAGTTATCTCCCTCAGGGTACTATAGCATAGTTATCTCCCTCAGGGTACTATAGCATAGTTATCTCCCTCAGGGTACTATAGCACAGTTATCTCCCTCAGGGTACTATAGCATAGTTATCTCCCTCAGGGTACTATAGCACAGTTATCTCCCTCAGGGTACTATAGCATCCCTCAGTTATCTCTCCCTCAGGGTACTATAGCATAGTTATCTCCCTCAGGGTACTATAGCATAGTTATCTCCCTCAGGGTACTATAGCATAGTTATCTCCCTCAGGGTACTATAGCATAGTTATCTCCCTCAGGGTACTATAGCATAGTTATCTCCCTCAGGGTACTATAGGGTACTATAGCATAGTTATCTCCCTCAGGGTACTATAGCACAGTTATCTCCCTCAGGGTACTATAGCACAGTTATCTCCCTCAGGGTACTATAGCACAGTTATCTCCCTCAGGGTACTATAGCACAGTTATCTCCCTCAGGGTACTATAGCATAGTTATCTCCCTCAGGGTACTATAGCATAGTTATCTCCCTCAGGGTACTATAGCATAGTTATCTCCCTCAGGGTACTATAGCACATAGTTATCTCCCTCAGGGTACTATAGCATAGTTATCTCCCTCAGGGTACTATAGCATAGTTATCTCCCTCAGGGTACTATAGCATAGTTATCTCCCTCAGGGTACTATAGCATGGTTATCTCCCTCAGGGTACTATAGCACAGTTATCTCCCTCAGGGTACTATAGCATAGTTATCTCCCTCAGGGTACTATAGCATAGTTATCTCCCTCAGGGTACTATAGCATAGTTATCTCCCTCAGGGTACTATAGCACAGTTATCTCCCTCAGAGTACTATAGCACAGGTATCTCCCTCAGGGTACTATAGCATAGTTATCTCCCTCAGGGTACTAGAGCATACCTATCTCCCTCAGCGGTACTAGAGCATACCTATCTCCCTCAGCCGTACTATAGCATAGTTATCTTCCCTGTTGGTACTAGGGCTTATATTAGTTATCTGCCCACTGGGTACTATATAAGGCAAAGCATATGGTTGGTTTTAAATCAGGATATATATTGAAGACTCTATGGAACAGTCCTGTAGCTCTCTGTAGCAACAAATCAATATTTAAATAATTTATTGGGAGCAGCATTGTAAGAAAAACAGCGTTGGTCTGGAGTACTAGCAAGTAGGCACATGCACACACACTCGTCGCCATGTAAGTGCTGTGTTCTTTCGTAAAGAACGTTTATGCAGACGTTGAACCCAACCTCACATGGATGTAGCAATGTGATTGTATCTCCCAGTTATCAGTGTCTTATCTTTGGGTGCATGTAGTTAAAACAGTGGTTTTCCTTCAGGTACTTCCCCGCAAGAGTCATGTTTTAAAGATATAATGACATGATTGTGATTATCTAATTTATTACAAAAAACAATTTGAGAAGGGTTTTGCTGTAACTTGTATTTGTGGAAAATGATTATTTTAAATTCTAATCCTCAAGTTTCACACTAATAGCTTCTAAAGGACAAAATTATTATCACTAATGTGAAAACTGAGGTTGAAAATGATTGAATACCCTGGTAAAAACTCTTGCAGTTGACAATTTATTCAACATATGGTCAACATAAAAGACACCTCATTCAAACCACTCTGACATATTGTGCTAAATAGCTGACAGAGGGAGAACCCAGTCAAGCCTGTCCTGTACATAGTCATCTCGAACTGGGGCAATGTCAAATACCTACTGTTCATAGTCCGAACATACCCAGTTTGTCCCCACCTCACCTGGACAATGTCCAATGTGACCCTTATACACTCAGACATTGTCCACATTGTTCACAAACTCATGGATACATTGTCATTGGACATGGATATTACAAAAGTAATCGACTTGTAGATTAAATGTATTATATCTTCTGACTGGGAAAGAATCTGGTGGAAAGGAATCCCATGAAGGCAATGATTGATGATTGTGTACAAGGAGAAAGGTAATGGGATAAGTGGTCTTGAGAAAAAAACATTACTTTCTCTGATGGGCAGAATAACAGCTACAGTATGGCCGCTCTTAGCCCGTAGGAGATACCCCAAGTTGCACATGTCCACAATTATACATACTATCTTCAGTACAACTGGAAAATAGAATGTTTGTCTGAAAATAAACTGATAACTCCTGAAGAGTAAAGCTACCTGGGGAACTGTGAGTATTGGTCTGTAATTAGCTGGGGAATATTAGTTATATTCCCATGACTCAGAAGAAATAAAGGTGTTTGCTATTAATAGTATATGTACTGTATGGAATGAACTTAAAGATGTTGTTTCTGATCAGAGAATCAGTGATGAGTCATATGTATTGTATTGTATAAGAAATCATGATGTTCCCCTAGAGAAATATGCTCCATAGGAATAAAGTACTGTAGACACCCAAATGTGGGGAACAATATGGACGATATTCTCTATACATTGAATGTATATCTTGAATAACAGATTTACCGTAGTATTCATCGTAACACATTCCCACTTTCGTCCAAATATGTTTCATGTTTCAGTGTATTTTGTTAAGGGTGACAAAGAATAACCGTTACATGTATCATGAACTTATAGTAAAACTATAGTACTGTAACTAGGTCAACACAAACGATATATCACACATTTTTAAAACATTCAGTGTATGCAAAAAAAATGTCATAGTCTTGCACACTGACTATGGAATGTTTTTATTTGATGAGACTAATAGAGGTGTAACCAGCTCAGTGCCATGAAATCAGCATCAGTAACAACTTGTAGCATCAGTAACAACTTGTAGCATCAGTAACAACTTGTAGCATCAGTAACAACTTGTAGCATCAGCAAAGATAGAGTAGAGAAATGGAGTACCTATGTGATAAACGATATTATACACTGTCATATAACTCTGTAAACTGTGATATATCTAAGATATCCAGCTTATGTATCTCTTTCTGTATCATGATACGTAGCATTTTGTTAACCTATCATATCATGAATGTATCATATCAACCCTAGTATCTGTAACGTACACACTTCTATGCGCTATAAGCTATACCTCCTTCTCTCCTCATGTATTGTAAGCCAGTATGTATACTGCAATCGGAGGAAGGTCATATCAGAGGACGTATATGGGCATGGATATAAAAGAAGGTTGTGTAAATGTCATTGAATCAAGTTCCATTGAGGTGTTGTACCTAGCGGTGTGCAGGGATGGATGCCTCATGTGGCGACTGTGACCTACTTCAGTGCAGCGCAACACTGTCACATATAGACATTACCGGGGACTTCCACGGAACAGTTCATTCAGGTGGAGGGGACATAGCTTGTCACTTTGCCTTACCTGAGAATAGTAGATCAATGTTGAGTGGAGAAAATAAACTGATGAGATAAAAATGACAATGAAATATTTGTAATTAGTGTATGGATTGTCGTTATACCATGCCAGTAGAATAAGGCAGTGTTGAGTAAGATAGCAGTAATTTGATATAAATTATTTTCATAAATGTTGAATTATACTTAATAGATTAGGGTTATTGAATAAAATGAAATTGAATTCATGAATTTTGAAATTTTCTTTCATAATGTTCTTTGGGACAAATTTATGTGATTTCTAGTACCAGTTTCATTAAAATGGTATGGTTGGATCATAATGATATTGTGCAAATGTTAAATAAATATCAAACAAGGCACTTCCATATTACTGTACAGGAAATTTGATGAGTATAGGGATCAACTACAAGCAAATGTCATTCAGAAGGTCATAATTCTTGCCAAGTACGAGGCATGTCCGGATCTACTTACCCTTGATTACTCTCGGTCACGAGCCATTCATCACATGTAGTGATTGTCATAATACACGGGATGACAGAAGATTAGCTGCTCATTGATAGATGTCAACAGCAGATATGTAGTCACGTGCTTACACGCTTCATACCTGTATCATGCTGTGTAGACACAAACGTTTTGTAAACCAGTAAATTTAAAAAATTGACTTTGTTCATAACTGTTTACTAAAATATGAGTAATTGGTTCTGTATTTCAAAAGTATTGACAGATTGTCAACTTGTCATTGAAATATCAGAAGATGTTCGAACTTATTACTGAATTGACTTTTCACATGTGAGTGTTTGAAATACCGTGTCACATCTTACAGACTGAACCTGTCTTGCAGTAGTAGCAGAGACCATATAATAGATTATATGGTCTCTGGTAGTAGGTTGCATCTGGTAATATCGCACCCAGGAAATATTCTCTGTGTGGCTAGTGATCCTGTAGATGGCAGACAGGTAGTATAACATCATGGAATATTTCCTTTATGATAGTGTTATTTCCCAATGTTCACAATCAACCATGAAAGTAAAGAGTCATGGTCATAAACTTAATATTAACACCAAAGAATTCGGGTCTCTTTAGATTCAAATAATGTAGGAGCACATTTCAGGTACCCCAGGACTCCTCTGAAATTTGAAAACTGATTTTCATGTCACATTTGGAATCCTTTTCAGAAAAGACACTACCAATTTAACATACTATATTCATGCTGCTGTTAAAGAAAATGGATTCTTCAGCTTAGCTTTTCAATTCTGGTCTACAAATTTAAATAATGTAAAAGTTGTCATTAATTATTTTTGTGTATTTCTTGTTAGTTAAATATCCACCCCTTAAAAAAAAAGCAGTAGCTGAATACACAGAATACCCTTCAAGAAAATGCTCTGTGTCTGATATGAAACGACCCTGTATTTCCCAAGGTAATCTCATGAGTCAAGTAGGTTTATGTGCAAATTTGTTAATAAGCTAATTATGTTTTTTGTTTAACAAATTTGCTGTAACATAAACATTTCTCTCTCTTGTTGACATATACAGCGTTTCTATTGGTGACTGATGTAGTATGTGTCGTGTATTACAGAAAGGAAACACTGCCCTCCACATTGCGTCACTGGCCGGACACGAAGACATCATCAAGATTCTGACCGAGAATGGAGCTAGAGTCAACGTACAAGCTCAGGTAAGGCATGGAGGTGTACAACTGTATTCAACAAGCCTACCCAGCCTCTCTACATCCACTTTAGGGGTTTTTTTTGGTTTTTTTTTATTGCTAGAAGCAGCGTAAAACTAAACTCACGCACTCACTCTCTACATCCATGAAGAGGACAGTTTTAAATGATAATATGAATATAACTTCTCAAGTGGTATTTAGAAGCTGGTATGATGAAGAGGAACAATGTTTGAGGATGGACAACTTCATTATTGCAATAAATGGGACGTTAACACCGTTATCATCACTAGCTTGATAACGTTGCTAACATCTACCAGGGATTGGGAAAGGCAGGGGCCATGGGCCATGGGCCATTTTGCACATTAGAATAAAAAATGGCCCTTTAAAATTTTGAAGTTTACTACTGATACAAGGGCAGTGGCCCATTCAAAATTCAGAAAATGACTAATAATCCTGAAAATGGCCCATTGTCAAAGTTCTCTATCCCAATCCCTGATCTACACCCAATCCCTGATCTACACCCTTGACCTGGAAAATATATCAAAGAAAGAATCCAGCTCAAGGCTAGGATGACTTGGCAAGTGTACCTTAACCTTGTTTGAAATTAGTCAAATTAATCTGGGCTCAATTTGAATTACATTTGATATATTGTAGATATATATTTTTAAACAGGAAAAGTTTTTATTCCTAGGACCAAATGTTAGTGTGACTCCTTAGGAATGTAGCAGGGTTGCGAGTTGAGGTAGGAACAACACGTGTACCTACACTCAGTTCAATCTTACCAGACAGGAGGATGATCAACATCCAACATCTGTATCTTGTCGACCTTCAAATCCTATTCCATCACAGTTTGTCAAGCAATGAACAGCTGACAGCCCTCATATTTCCTAGCTCACTTGAAGGAGGAGGCCATTACCCTCTACAGCTTGTTCCTGTTAAAGATGCAGGGTAGGAATTGGTGCTTGTTTAACAGGTCCAATTATCCAGCTGCCTCTGATTAATGTAATGTGATCTCTGTCTGGATAATAGTATCGCATGTCAAAATACTTATAATAGCTGATTGTTCATATTTATCGGAATTCATTTTTTTCAAGCGGATATTTTAAAATTTATACTCATGCACTCCTGTTAAATGTGATGCCATTACATTTGTTATGTTAACATTCCTCTAAGGTTTAGTTACGAAACTACTTTAATTGTACAAAATAAATACCCCAAAACAGAAGTAATAAAATACATACAAGTTTCAGAATTATGTCTGCTGGTCTCAGTCAACTAAAATTTGGGAAGTGAGATATCTTTGTGGACTGCCATGTCAATATTATATACATGGCAACTTCTTAGCGAGTCTGTCTCCCAGACTCTCGAGAATAAATTGAATAGGAGCCCTACTCAAGTCCAGAATTATTTTGCAAGTCTAGATTGCTTAAGCTCCAGAAATTAAGGATTGTCTGGATTCCCTTTGGATTTTTTTTAAAGAGAAATGTATGTTTTTTGGATTTTTAATATTTCTGGAACTAAATGTCAGTCAGTCTACAGCACAGCAGATGATTTTTGCAGTTTAGTAAACAAAATAATGAATTTCTATCACTATGTGGGAGGAAGGAGATTTATGATTTCTTTGGAGATTTTACTGTTTGGGTAGAATTGTTTTATTTCATTGGAGGTATTAGCAACGGCTGCAATAATCTTCATCACATTAGGGTGGAACAATTCAAAATAGGCTCTGAATCATGAACATGTTTGTAGAGCTCTTTTCTGCCATGAGGTGATGAAGCTGATTCACCTCAGCCCTGGTAGTTAAACAGGTGTAATCACCTGGATGATCCTCTGTGATGCTGAAGGATGAATGTACCTTCATCCCCCAGTGCTTCCTTGCTTCACCTACAACACTGTGTTATAACAGGGACCTCTTGTATAATCTCATATCCCATGTGCCACCCTTACACTGTGTTATAACAAGGACATATTGCATCATCTCGTATCCCATGTGCCACCCATAACACTACATTATAACAACGACATCTTGTACAATCTCATATCCCATATGCCACCCTTACACTGTGTTATAACAAGGACATATTGCATCATCTTGTATCCCATGTGCCACCCTTACACTGTGTTATAACAGGGACATATTGTATAATCTTGTATGTCGCTTGCCATCCCCAACAGTACATTATAACAAGGACATGTTGCATCATCTTGCATCCCATGTGCCACCCTTACACTGTGTTATAACAAGGACATATTGTATCATCTTGCATCCCATGTGCCACCCTTACACTGCATTATAACAAGGACATATTGCATCATCTTGCATCCCATGTGCCACCCTTACACTGTGTTATAACAAGGACATATTGTATCATCTTGCATCCCATGTGCCACCCTTACACTGTGTTATAACAAGGACATATTGCATCATCTTGTATCCCATGTGCCACCCTTACAGTGTTATCACAAGGACATATTGCATCACCTTGCATCCCATGTGCCACCCTTACACTGTGTTATAACAAGGACATATTGTATCATCTTGCATCCCATGTGCCACCCTTACACTGTGTTATAACAAGGACACATTGCATCATCTTGCATCCCATGTGCCACCCTTACACTGTGTTATAACAAGGACATATTGCATCATCTTGTATCCCATGTGCCACCCTTACACTGTGTTATCACAAGGACATATTGCATCATCTTGCATCCCATGTGCCACCCTTACACTGTGTTATAACAAGGACATATTGTATCATCTTGCATCCCATGTGCCACCCTTACACTGTTATAACAAGGACACATTGCATCATCTTGCATCCCATGTGCCACCCTTACACTGTGTTATAACAAGGACATATTGCATCATCTCGTATCTCATGTGCCACCCATAACACTACATTATAACAACGATAACTTGTACAATCTCGTATCCCGTGTGCCACCCACAACACTGTGTTATAACAGGGACATATTGTATCATCTTGCATCCCATGTGCCACCCATAACACTACATTATAACAACGACATCTTGTACAATCTCGTATCCCGTGTGCCACCCACAACACTGTGTTATAACAGGGACATATCATATAATCTTGTATCCCATTGGATACACTTTAGCATTAGGAGGTCAGACTTGGTGACCTTGTTTATTGCATGTCATCATGGGCCCAGCAGATGTGATAATGCTCAGAATATCAGCCACTGATTTGTTTAGTCCAGAGCTGAAACTCGGTCACTCACTCACCTGCCTGTCACCCACTCACTCACTGCCAGCAATGTCCTTGCAGGTGTGCTTCTGCACATGCTATTCTCCCTCCTGGACAATGCTATCACAATGTTTGACCTGATACTTGAGAGTATGTCTAGACATACTATGACCTCCCTGAGCACAGAATAGTGGAATCACCCTTATGATGCAATGGCAATTCAAAGGGCACTGACTTTAAAGAAAGTGGAAAATTGCATGTGTAAACTGCTGGAAATATTGAAAGGAAAGTTATTGGTTTATTTGAATTCAGTTTGAAAAGGACATGAGACACTCAGGTTCATTCAAGGGATTAGTGCATGGCCCCCGTTGTGTGAAAGAACTTTTGAAGTGGAGAGTGATATTGGATTTTTTCCAGTCTGGAAAACATGTTTTGCTTGATGAAAAGTTGGTGTTTGATTTAATAGAAGGGAATATCAATGCACCAAAGTTTGCAAGGTGGAAAGTGGGTTAGTTGATGAATTTTCTTTAAGGTTTTAGATATGATTTCAATATGCATTCAATAAGCAGAGGAAAGTCGTCCACATGACAGTGAAATATATGCATTTTGTGAAACCAAAACCAGCCTAGATGTTTAGAAGCAAGTCCAGACAGCTTCAGTCTAACAATTCAGGAGCTCAAATGATAAAAATATTCTTCCGTACAATTACACAAATAATAAACTTAAGTTAATGCTGATAGCCAAGTTCAGATAGCCTCAGAAGTTTTTTTGTTCAGACTACATCTCCATTTGAGATAATAGATAATTTATTGTTTCATTAAAGATTTCATATAGTATCTATTAAAGACAAAACACTCGTTAACAGTAGAATACGAAACCAGGAACCTGTCTGTGTAACTAGTGCCATCCAGTCAGGTATTTGGGGTGGGAATGATAAAAGGTCATAAGTCTTGTTGCCGTGCCAACCACAATATACATCAAGTACAGTAATGGATATCACATTGTTCCAAGGTGTGGCCGGTGACTCAAACTTGAAGCAATCTGTGTGAAGACCAATGTGTGATTCCTGAAACAGAAGTTTTATGCATTCACCTATCAGGGCCGTTCTTTAACATAACAAAACAAGAAAACTAAATGCTGATTGGAAAACCAGTTGATAAAGAACATTTATGTATGTCCCACTAATGGCTAAAACAGAAGTTTTGTACATAAACAGAGGCATGTTTTAAAACAAGGAAACTAAATGGTGATCAGAACTACAATTGATAAAGAACAGTTACTTTATTTTCTATGAACTGATTGATTCTGACCCAACTGCACGAGGTATTGGTCAGATTCTGGAACCAAAGATATTCTTGTAGTTAGACGACTCACAATAATGGTGAATAACAAAAATGAATAGCATTGAAACTCTTGAAAATGAGTCTTTTGCTCAAACTAAAATATTGCATTACGGCTGTACAGAAGGACAAATTCTCGTGAATAGCGATTTTCAATATAGGTTTTTGCACAGAGCCATGTACACTAAACGAGAACTACTAAAGATTAAATTGATAGATAATGACCTATGTACATTATGTGGTTCAGTAAGTGAGGATATTTACCATGTATACCTTGATTGTCCAATCATCAAAATGTTCTAGACAGATTTTAACAATTTTGTTACTCAAGTCCTTGGTAAACGTATGAAATGTCAAACCATGATATTCTATTCTGTTGTAATGGTAACCATTTAATAAACCACATGATATTACTGGCAAAGCACAACAGTTTCGTAATGAATATAAAGGACAAAAACACAATCTACAGAACATTATTAAAGGACGTCTATGAAATTGAGAAATTTATCGATTATAAAACCCAAACAATATGAAACGTTTTTACAGAAAATTGAATGTTCTAGATGCAGTCCTGTAATTTAGATGTTAGTCTTTCACATTCTCTGTATTACTATATAGCATTTCAATTGTTTAATCAATATTCCCAATACGATATACGTTATACTGTCTGCAATTTGTAATATTTTGCTCTACCGATATATAATGTTCAACTGTAACCAAGTAAAGTGAATATAAAAAATAAAAAAAATAAAAATTTGTAAATGTCACTGTAAAAGAAATTTATTGAAATGTTATTTATTTAGAAACAAGAGTATGTTTCAAGTGCGTCACTTTGTTTTGAATGACCACCATATATGTCAGTGATGAATATTGATATGTAATAGTTTATAGGGTAAAGCCTGTGAGACATTTTTATGCAGCTTTTATTCCCAAAATTTAATGCATGGCTCATAAAGATGATTCCTACTGTTGTGGTATGTTGCTTGTTTTGACCAGCTGTTTCTGTTTCAGGCTGGCTTTACTCCACTCTACATGGCCGCACAGGAGGGTCACTCCGAAGTACTCAAGTTCCTTTTGGCTAATGGGGCCAACCAAAGCTTGGCTACTGAGGTTGGTGTACAGAGTTGATGTATACTTGCCTTAACCATTTAATCCTGGACTGAAAACAGAAAACATCACTTTTACATTAGATGCTAATACACCATATCCTCCTGTCTAAAGAGGCAGTGGGGTGGCCCAGTGGGTAAAGTGTTCACATGTCACGCTGAAGAACCAGTTTGATTTACATCATAGATTTTATGTGCAAAGCCTGTTTCTGGTATCCCTAGCTATAATACTAATGGGTGGTGGGGTAGCCTAGTGGTTAAAGCATTCGCTTATTTTTCGCTTGTTACGCTGAAAGCTTGGGTTAGATTCCCCACATGGGTACAATGTGTAAAAAACATTTCTAGTGCCCCCATCGTGATGTTGTTGGAATATTGCTAAAAGTGGTTTAAAACCATACTCACTCACTCATAATACTGAAGGAATATTGCTAGGAGTGGTTAAAACCCCAACTCACTCACTCACTCATATGTTAGAGGGCCTGTAACAATGATACCATGTACTGATACATCATGGCACAGTCAGTCTTGCTGTCTGGAGGACCCCCAGCAATGACAAGTCTACTATGTGATGACACATTGTTACAGACTATAATCTTGACAGTTGAGTCAATGTTGGAGATTCTACTAGTCATTTGCCATAGATCCTGGTCAAGTCCCCCACTACACCACCAGTGACTCACTTGCTGTAATTCTCAGCGGCTATCTCGTAGATTCAGCCAATAAGTCTGGAGTATTTATGTAATTGATCCGCAAGTTGATAACACACAGAAAGATCATTATCTTGCCAAGATAGTTCTGGATTCTCTGCGTGTTATTGATTAGAATGGAATAAGTGTCATGCTGGAATTGGTTCTGCTTGGCCATTGTTTGCTGTAGTTGGACAAGTTGCGTTACGTGCAGGCTCGTGGTTCATGTCTGGTATCAGGGGATTACCCTGCTGGATGGTTGTGATGAGTTATCACATGCAAAGTTGTGATTTATGGTAGACTATACGGGAGTAATAGGAGTAAATATTAATGGGATATATAAAGAATTATGCCCATTAGAACCGTTGCACTTAAATTATTTAATTTACCTGTTGTGCATGTGTGATTCATTTCTAACTGTATATAAGCAGAACAACTTTTGATTCTTATTTTGTGTTTCAAAAGATTATGAAGTTGTAAGGAAAGAATCTAATTCCAGTTCTATTTTCTATTTTCAAATATTTGATTTTCACGTTTACTTGTTTTGATAATTTATGCTCAATACAAATATGTTTGAAGACATGAAATTTAAATCTCACTGTAGGATATTTAACTTTTTTCACATTACATTAATAATCAAACAACTACGAGGAAATCCAAAGTTTTTCTGGAAAATATATTTTATGATGATCAATTGCTTAATGTTTGATGGGATGAATTAATGATGTTTGAGAATATATATATGTTTGAATGAATGTGCATGTGTTTGATGGGATGAATGTGTTTGATGTTTGATGATGTTTGATGGGATGATATTTGATGTTTGATGGGATGAATATATCTGATGTTTGATGGAATGAATATATTTGATGTTTGATGAGATGAATGAATATTTGATGATGGGATGAATATATTTGATGTTTGATGGGATGAATATATTTGATGTTTGATGGGATGAATATATCTGATGTTTGATGGAATGAATATATTCAATGTTTGATGGGATGAATATATTTGATGTTTGATGGAATGAATATATTTGATGTTTGATGGATGAATATATTTGATGTTTGATGGTTTGATGGAATGAATATATTCATGAGATGAATATTTGATGATGGGATGATGATGGGATGAATATGTTTGATGTTTGATGGGATGAATATAATGTTTATTCTGATGTGATGGAATGATGAATATATTTGAATGAATATATCTGATGTTTGATGGAATGAATATATTCAATGTTTGATGGGATGAATATATTTGATGTTTGATGGGATGAATATATTTGATGTTTGATGGGATGAATATATTCAATGTTTGATGAGATGAATATATTTGATGTTTGATGGAATGAATATATCTGATGTTTGATGAATATATCAATGTTTGATGATGAATATATTTGATGATGGATGAATATATCTGATGTTTGATGGGATGAATATATCTGATGTTTGATGGATGAATATATTTGATGTTTGATGGGATGAATATATCTGATGTTTGATGGGATGAATATATCTGATGTTTGATGGAATGAATATATTCAATGTTTGATGGGATGAATATATTTGATGTTTGATGGGATGAATATATCTGATGTTTGATGGAATGAATATATTCAATGTTTGATGGGATGAATATATTTGATGTTTGATGGAATGAATATATCTGATGTTTGATGGAATGAATATATTGATGTTTGATGAGATGAATGTATTTGATGTTTGATGGGATGAATATATCTGATGTTTGATGGAATGAATATATTGATGTTTGATGAGATGAATGTATTTGATGTTTGATGAGATGAATGTATTTGATGTTTGATGAGATGAATATATTTGATATTTGATGGGATGAATATATTTGATGTTTGATGGGATGAATATATCTGATGTTTGATGGAATGAATATATTCAATGTTTGATGAGATGAATGTATTTGATGTTTGATGGGATGAATATATTCAATGTTTGATGAGATGAATATATTCAATGTTTGATGAGATGAATATATTTGATGTTTGATGAGATGAATATATTCAATGTTTGATGAGATGAATGTATTTGATGTTTGATGGGATGAATATATTTGATGTTTGATGAGATGAATGTATTTGATGTTTGATGGGATGAATATATTCAATGTTTGATGAGATGAATATATTCAATGTTTGATGAGATGAATATATTTGATGTTTGATGGGATGAATATATTCAATGTTTGATGAGATGAATATATTTGATGTTTGATGGGATGAATATATTCAATGTTTGATGAGATGAGTATATTTGATGTTTGATGGGATGAATATATTTGATAATATGGTTATCTCTTCCAGGATGGCTTCACCCCCCTGGCTGTGGCCTTGCAGCAAGGACATGACAGAGTGGTCAGCGTTCTGCTAGAACACGACAGCAAGGGCAAGGTCAAACTACCTGCCCTGCATATCGCTGCAAAGAAGGATGATGTCAAGTCTGCTGCTCTGCTGCTGCAGAACGAGCAGAACAACGTAAACACAGAAACCAAGGTAACGAAACCAGACTGAAGTCCATGCAGTGACACTGCTGTACACTGACTATATAGCATCAAATGGACAACAAGGAGAAAATAATACTATTGGAAAGACAAGAGGAAATAAGCCCGTAGATATACCTTTCAAAAAGTTGATTTGCTCTCATGGGTTAACCTGAAAATCAAAAATCAAATGTACTGATCCAGACGTTTCATGAAAACTAGTGCAGTCCTTAAAATGATGAATATACAGGAATTGGGATAGAGAACTTTGACAATGGGCCATTTTCAGGATTATTAGCCATTTTCTGAATTTAGAATGGGCCACTGCCCTTGTATCAATAGTTAACTTCAAAATTTTAATAGGCCATTTTTTATTCTAATGTGGAAAATGGCGTCATGTGCTTTGTTGTCCATTTGACAAGTACGCCATCTAATGATCTAAACCATCTCTGCCAGTCGTACAGCCTGACTAACATACATTTCTCAATGTTATTCACCTGCAAGTTGTCGGTTACAACTCTCTACTACATAAAATATTCTCACAACCATCTTCAATACATCCGTACATCTGCCTACTGTCTCTTTTTCTCATTCTCCTGTCTGTCTCTCATTCCCTCTGTGTTTCTTTCTTTCTCTTTGTTTTCCCTTCCCCTCATGCTATCATCTTCAAAAAATGCCTCTCAATCAGTATCATTTTGCTTGCATTTCAAAATTCATTCGTTGTTGTTATACAAGTTGTCAATTTCAAAAGTAGTTGCATTATTTTCGGCCTTCATGAAGCATGTTAAACTGGAACATCTCGTCATTAATTAGTGTCTGTGACAGTTGTAATATTGACAATTTTTGTCATGCATCTTCTCCTGCTAAGCATGATATTTCTTTCAACAAGTGTGGTTGTGGAAATATGTGCTTGTTTTGATCATTTAACTTTCTCCTTGCATATAATTTCATGGTTGTACTGGCTGTGAACTTGTGAAATTTTGTGAGTCAAAGCATGCTGTGTACTCACAGTAAGATAACACAGAAAAAATATGCTTTTCAAAGTTGTGAAAATTCTATATTTACTCTATCTTTTCTTCTCAAAATGAGAGCCATTTCCCTCTTCTTGCTGTCCTTGCTGTCTTCTCACTGCTCCTGAAATATGGCCGCTGTAATGGCCACTGGATAGCTCGCACAGTGATAATGAGTGTAAATATTGCTCTAAGTGAAACTGGTAACCGATCGTCTAGTTTATTAACAGTTTATTACATTTACACATTGTGAACACAAACATTTCCGTCATCTGAAGATGTTATTAGGTTTTCACATGAAAACATGTAGCCTCACTTCAACCTCCATGCCGCTAGGGGCAGTGGGTGCCTAGTGGTTGAAAAGTTGGCTTGTCACGCTGAAGACCCAGGTTCGATTCCCCACATGGGTGCAATGTGTGGATCCTAGTTCTGGTGTCCCTTGCCGTGATATTGCTGGAAAATTGCTAAAAGCAGCATAGAACCATACTCACTCACTCATGCAGGCCACAGTTATGTAAAACAGACTTTACACAGCTATACATTACCTACATATGGTTCATGCCCCTCTGCTTGATTGAGCTGAGTCATAGGTTTGTCCCACGGACATGCAACGAATTAAGATGAATGGTTGCATGGTTTGTTTACTCTTGTTGGTCCCTGTTTGTTATCTTGATTAAATGAAAGGATAAATTTTTCTAAAGAGTGGGCGTATGCTTATCTTGAGTTCTGGTATATAACCTGGGGATTTGTCACATCACAGGGACAGTTTTTGTGGCAGCAATGTCGACCAGTCTCACATAGAGTTATTTCCCTTTACACAAAACATACATGCACTGAAAATACATACTGATAGTGAACGATTTTATTTATATGGAAGTGAAGTGTAGCTTTGAATTCTGAAGGAAAAAAATATTGGATTTCGAAAATTTATGCACAGTTATATATTTTGCTATACTTTATTATTTATGACAACACTTTGCTTTAAAGTTTTCTTTCTGAAAAGGAAGCATACCGATATTTGTTCTGAATGTTTTATATCTTCTGAATGGTTTTTGTTATAACTTCCGAGCAACAGTGTGATATTTGATATATCTACTGAATGATAGTGTGATATTTACACTCACATATACTAACAGCAGCTAACATCAGTGTTGATATATCATATACTATTCACCACTAACTGCCTCTAACATGCCCCTACTTTCTCCACGTGATCAAACAGAGCGGAGGTTTGGTGAATGATACAACCAAGGTTTGTCCACCCTGTGCATCTTACTGCTGTTGTTTTCATGTCTCAGCCTCATTTCAGTTTCTCGTAGTTTTAACGTTTTGTTGATATGTTTATTGCATGTTTGTTTCATGAGATCAGATTTTAAACTTAGCTCTGAACTTTATATGATGAATGTCTTAAGGTAAATAGCGTTATTTTTGCATGTTTTGGGGGGAAAATAACTGAAATGCATGGATAGTTAATATTCGGAATCTTGATGTGTGAATATGAAGCTTCATTTCAAAATGAAGGATATGAGATGATGGCTTTAAAATATATCAAAGAAATTTTAAGCAGCATTGGCGAGACAAAATTACAATGTTGTATATCAAATTTCATTTTATTAGTTTTTAATGTAGGCATATTTACAGAAGGGTCGTGTACAAGTGATATGTTTACCTGCAAACCTTTAAAAGAAAGTTACAATATTTGATCATACATTCAAATATTGTCTGGACAAACAATAAACAGGAATATCATGTTCTTTAAAAAATTACTGGTTTTGTTTCAACACATGAAGCAGAAGAATGTATTTAGTTCTGTTTTCCTTCTGTGGTAAACACTGCATGTGTCAGGTTTTCGTTGATGATGTCTCAAGCACAATATTTTCTTTCAGTTCTGTTGGTTGTTTAGTTGGGAAGAATGTAACAAAACCTTATTATTTTGTGTGTGTTGGTTGTGAATATAGCCATCTTTCTGCACTAGAGAATGACTTCAAACAGTTTAATTTTGCACCAGAATGTGAAAAAAGTGTTGGAATCAAAAATGATGGATTGTACTTTTCATTAAAGTATGTTAGATATAAGTATGAAACATGTGGCATTTGGCTCCTGGAACAATTTCATAAAACATGATTTTAACACATTTTACAAAATGTAATTAAATGGTTCAGTAAAGTGTTATTTATTTTACTATTGCCTAAGCCATATGGATATATTTATCTTAATTTGCCGATTGCTGGAATGCTAGTCGTTGTGCATGAAATGTTTCATCGCAGCATGTTAATGTCATCATTGTCATCCAGTATCACATCATTAATCAATAATCAATACTCATTAATCAATAATCATTAATCAATAATCATTATTCAATACTGTACAGTGTGTTCCTTTCATCATCATAAAACATTATGATGACCTTTAAAAAAGAACACTTTATGATGCTATGTATAAGTTTAAGAGTTTTTAATGGCCCAACACCACAATAAGATATATTTGAGCCTGGTGTGAAATGTAAATACATTCCTCCTCACCTGACCCTAAATTCAAGCTGGCGATTAATGTAGTTTATCCTTTTTGTTAGAGTTCTAAGAAATTATAGAATTTTATGGAGTAGCGGGAACCTGCTATGGGAGTTTTTCTATTTTGCCGATGGTTAGACAGCAGAGACTGTAAAATTGGGAATGTTTTGTCAGTTTCTCTCGTGTTCTCTGTCTCCCGGTACTATGTTTTATGCAGTTCAAAACTATTAATACCTTTTTTATTTGTGTTGAGGTCAAGATGTATGTTTCAAATGTTATGTCATCTATTCCAGAGTGGCTTCACCCCTCTGCACATCGCCTCCCACTACGGCAACACAAACGTAGCCAATCTCCTCATCCAGAGAGGCGCAGATGTCAATTTCAAAGCAAAGGTGAGTATTTTCTGTCAATCTTTGGCCTCTTTTGTATTGGGGATGAAGAGGATACAATTATGTAAAAGAAATAATATGTAAATTGGTTAAAATGTGACACAGACTTGAACAGCTTTTACATATTGTAGACCCGTGAAGATGCGAGTTAGAATTTGTCTTCAGTAACCCATGCTTGTTGTAAGGGGCAACTAATGGGATCAGGTGGTCAGGCTCGCTGACTTGGCAGACACATGTCATCATATCCCAATTGCGTAGATTGATGCTTATGCTGTTAATCACTGGATTGTCTGTTCCAGACTCAATTATTTACAGACCGCCACCATATAGCTGGAATATTGCTGAGTGCGGCGTTAAACAACAAACCAACCAACATATCGTAGGCTATCAATCTGTGAATAGTAGCATCATGAGTATATTTATATATTTCAACTACAATGAATATTCTTACTGTCTCTGACAGGTACTGATCTTCCTTGCATATCATTTCACATGTCTATAAAGTACAGTGTAAGATACTATACGTACTGTGATAAGTAGGGTTTGTTTAACATATTCACAAGTCCAAATTCATTTATCTGCAATTCAGTACAGTCAGTAAGAGGAAATAGAGACATTGACAAGTAATGAGTTTAGTTACATATATCATCACTCAGTTTTTATGGCTTGCAGAACTTCATCACCCCCCTACATGTTGCTGCTCGATGGGGAAAGGCCAACATGGTCACCCTGCTACTGGACAATGGCGCCAACATTGACGAGAGAACCAGGGTTAGTATACACAGAGTTACTTCAGGTACCTTTCTTGTGGGGCATGCTAGTGTGGACAGATGTAAGCCAGAACAATTATGTCATGGCTTCCTAGCATCTTGTCCAGGGAGTATGGGAGTCTCCAGTTACCAAAGTTACCATAATTCAGTATGCAGAGTGACAACTGTTCAGGCGGTTCCAATGCCGGCGTGGCAGTGGGGTAGCCTAGTGGTTAAAGCGTTCGCTCGTCACGCTGAAGACCCAGGTTCTATTCCCCACATGGGAACAATGTATGAAGCCCATTTCTGGTGTCCTCTGCTGTGATATTACTGGAATATTGCTAAAAGTGGTGTAAAACTAAACTCACTCACTCACTCCAATGCCGGTTTTGTTGACATGTTTGGCAGCACTGTTGGTTTCATGAAGTGTCCGAGGCATTCATTCCTTTGGCCTTGATGGTCTTCTCCTGAGGGATTTAGGGTCAGAGGCTTGTATGATTATCAATCACTGATTTGTTTGGTCAAGATTTGACATTTTACTTGCTATCCATATATTGCTTTAATAGTTCTGATCATGGCATAAACAAGGTAGAAGTGGATAATGGCCACATGTAATCATGATTTGTGTTTCATTAACATATTAACAAAGACAAACTCATGCCCCCCAAAATAGTTGTACATCAGGTATAAATGCTTTCGTTGTTTCTTTTGAGAATGTGAAACATGGATTGAGTTGGTTAATCCTGATGGTTGTGTATTTCAGGACGGACTGACACCTCTCCACTGTGCTGCTCGGAGTGGACACGAGGGTGTCGTGGATCTGCTGCTGGAACGGGGAGCCCCCAATTCTGCCAAGACAAAGGTCAGCAGAACCCTCGGTTACTAAATAACAAAAAAAAGAAAACAGATTCATTGAAGAATCATTCGTTCAGAAGATATAAAAACAATAAGATAAGAATACACTCAATCAAGAGGATGGAATGAGACATGCATAGACTGATTTTGGGACGGATTTTTTGCATTGTTGTGTCAATTGGTGGAGTTGCAAGATATTGAGAGGAACGTTAATACAAATGGATTTGTCGTATATTGTTGAATTAAGTCTTTGAAGGGCATTTAAAAGTAGAATGCATAAAAAAAGCTAGATTTATGGATGTCAACATTTCAAAGTGTATGCTTGCTCCTTCATCACCTGCTTTTCAAATTACTGAAGGAATTCTTTATCTATTTCTCAATGTGAAAATTGCTTTGTTGCTATTTATTGCAACTGTTATGATTTGTATTGTCTTGGATAACCACAGATTGTGTCTTTTGTACACGATGAAGGTGTTGCAATGTGTATGTTTTTTCCAGAACGGCCTGACTCCCCTGCACATGGCAGCCCAGGGAGATCACGTGGACTGTGCCCGTCTGCTTCTCTACCACAAAGCCCAGCTGGATGAAATCACTGTGGTGAGTACCTCTGCTCCCTGACCTGCTCATGTACTGCAAGTACAGTTTACTGCAGTTAGGCTAATATGAAAAAAACACTCTGAGTTTAGTTTATTTTGACCATGGTTCATTATAGGCATTTTGTCTATAATGTGCAACAAGTGTCGAGGAAGAAAATCCTGTTTGTTATATATCTGTCAGTTTGTTGTAAGCATATTTGTTATAAATGCAGTTTACTGTTAGCAGACATGTGTAAAACAAGTAGGACCAGTGGTTGATGATAATAAAGAAAATTAGTCTTATTTATATGAAAATATTTCAAATGTCTCCTTACACAAGGTCTTGAAAGGTTCTTAGTTCCACAGTTGCAGTGTTGAGAGATGGTGGTGGTGGTGGTTATGATGTTGATGACGACAATGATGACGACAATGATGACGATTTTGCTATTACAGGACTACTTGACACCTCTGCATGTGGCGGCTCACTGCGGCAACGTGAAAACAGCGAAACTCCTCCTGGACAGAAAGTGTGAACCCAATGCCAGGGCACTGGTAAGTCAACATTTCTAGATAGTCCATCTCATTGCTTTAGGAGGACGGTGGGTTAGCTTAGTGGTGAAAGAGTTCACTTGTCACACCGAAGACCTGGGTTCGATTCCCCACATGGGCACAATGTGTGAAACCCATTTCTGGTGTCCCCCGCCGTGATATTGCTGGAATAGTGCTAGAATTTTGCTAAAAACGGTGTAAAACCGAACACACTCACTATTGCTGATAGAATATGGAGATGAAGACATGACGGTTAATGCTTTATGTTGCAGAATGGCTTCACCCCCGCTCCACATTGCATGTAAGAAGAACAGGATCAAGGTTGTTGAGCTGCTGCTTAAGTATGGAGCTTCTATCGAGGCTACCACTGAGGTAAGCTTGTGTTTCATCTCAAGTATGGAGCTTCTATCGAGGCTACCACTCATGTAAGCTTGTATATCATTTCAAGTATGGAGCTTCTATCGAGGCTACCACTCAGGTAAGCTTGTATTTTATAGTTGAATCAGCAGAGGTAACATAACGAATTTATTCATGATGAGAATGCACTGGGAATTCTGTATTAGAACTGTAAGATGTGACAAAAATGATCTGTTGGTTAGGTGACTTAGTTTCATCGTATCCCAGCAGCGTGGATTGTTGCAGACCATTTCTTGTACTTGTGAGGAAAGCAATTTTATTATGACAGTATTATTAAGTACAATTACAAACCCTGTCTTTCTTTAACACAAGGGTAGTGTTGTAGCCTTGTGGTATAAGCGTTCACTCATCATGCTGAAGACTCCACATGGGTACAATGTGAACCTCATTTCTGGTGTCCCCACCATGATATTGCTGGAATATTGCTAAAAGTGGTTTCAAACCCAACTCATTCACTCACTCTTTAACACAACTCACTTGAACAATCATGAAGTCCTGAGATTGGTTTTCGGAAGTAAATTCTGTTTAGGATGTGGGAAGAATTTTTTGCTGTGATATGAAAAATTCACTCTAAACCATTTATCGTTCATACTTCAGTCTGGGCTCACTCCACTGCACGTGGCATCATTCATGGGCCACATGAACATCGTGATCTACCTGATACAACACAACGCTAACCCGGACACCCCTACAGTCCGTGGCGAGACATCCCTTCACCTCGCAGCCCGCGCCAACCAGACAGACATCATCAGGATCCTGCTGAGAAATGGAGCTACTGTCGATGCTACTGCCAGGGTCAGTACCACCTTCAAATATGTGGACATCTACATTTGTAGGACATGAACAATCTTTGCTTCATAAACTTGTTAAATGTAATAAGTAAAAATATAAAATCAAATGTAGATTTATCAGGTCAGTTATCAGTTTATAAAAAAACTACCAAGTAACAAAGAATTTAAAAGCCGAAAAAATAAATGCATGCGTCCCTTTTATGCACTTGCATGATCAAGGGGAGACAACTCATGTCCTTGCCAATGATAGTTCCTGCAGAAAATGGTTTGCTACGAGAAATCCTGCCACCTTAGTACCTACAATATACGACGGTGAATGTTGAACTAATGCATCACTGTTCCTCTTCCAGGAGAAGCAGACTCCTCTGCACATTGCAGCTCGTCTCGGCAATGTCGACAACGTCGTACTGCTGCTGCAGCACGGCGCATCCCCCGACGCAACCACCAAGGACCTGTACACCCCCCTCCACATCGCTGCCAAAGAGGGGCACGAGGAAGTGGCTCAAGTCCTCCTGGACAATGGAGCCTCACACAGCATGACCACAAAGGTACAGATGGCGGCAAATAGCGTGACATTTTGCAGGCATTAATTATGGTTTTCTATCTGTCCATGGAGAGGTGTTAAGTAACTTTCATCATTAGTTGTCATATAACGTCACCAGTCACTGCTGAACGTTGCAGAGATTATTATAGCTGCGGATACTTACATAAGATTCCTGCTTTATGTCATGGCCATTTCTTTGAGTGGCCATTTTTAGAAGCTGGAGAGTCAGATAAGGACAAACTTTATGGATGACCAACTTCTTTATGCAGGTGGTGCGACGTTTCGATAGAGATTCTTGTATCTTTGCCTGCTTGACACATACTGCTTGACAACGATACAAGAATCTGTATCGAAACGCCATGGCCATTTACGTTAACATCAAGGTAGTCCTCTGTAGCTGATATTACTGCTGTTAGTGGAGATGTTTTACCTGTCCTAGCAGACCCTATAATGGTGTGAAGTGTTTAAGTTTATGACAGTGATTGTTTAAGCTGAGTGTTGCATGTCTTCTCTCCAACAGAAGGGCTTCACTCCGCTCCACATTGCGGCCAAGTATGGCAACATCAAGGTGGCCCGACTGCTACTGCAGAAGGAAGCAAACCCAGACGTGCAGGGCAAGAACGGCCTGACCCCGCTCCATGTGGCCACCCACTACAACCACGTGAACGTCGCACAGCTCCTGCTGGAACACAAGGCTAACCCACATTCCGCAGCCAAGGTGAGGGTCACAGTTGCCTTAAGAGGAGAGGTGAAGGAGTCCATCAAATAGCTGTGACTGTTTAATTCGTCTCTGCATTGCTATCATCAAATTCAATGAAGTGATCAAGTTTTCAGCAATGAGGAGACAATATCTCAGTTTTATTCTGTCAAATTTCGTTCCACAAAACGATCATAGTGGTACAACTTTCTTCTTTTTTATGTTAAAGTGAAGAAGATATGATCACCTCAACACTTTGATCTCTCTTTAGAACAACCTAGAGTGATCTAAACAGTATGACTGTTAACGAAAAACAGTTTTAATCTTTCCGCTAAGATCTTTTGTGGAGTAGGTAAATCTTCACTACTAATGAAAAGGCGTACATCTTCATGGAGAAATAAACTTCTGACTGTTGTCAAGGGGAAAATAATTCATTACTGTAAACGTACTTTTTTTTTCGCTTGGTGCAAATTTCGAGGAATTGACAGGGTCAGTTATTCGTGCAATCAGTAATTCCCGGAACTGCCAGCTGTCTGTTAGGCCGCCACTAATAGCAATGAAAACAATCAGAGTGGCTTAACCTGTCAGGCGACGTGTATTGCTTACTCAGAGGAAATCCCTACCTGCGCGATATATGCAGTAATACATTTACTCACGGAAGTATTAAGTACTTAGGAAGTGATATATCGTCATGGTACTAGTATATTATATAAAGAGATGAAAAACACATCAGTCTTATGTTCCGAATTCTGACGATCTGACGATGGCATTGCAAATGTGGTTAAAGAAAGCACCTACCCCTGAGATTGATTTTTATCTCTATCTTCACCGACCAACTGTTCATGTTCCAGAATGGCTACACCCCCCTTCACATCGCAGCCAAGAAGAATCAGATGGACATTGCCACCACCCTTCTGGAGTACGGAGCGAAACCCAACGCAGAGTCTAAGGTGAGGATTGTAACTACTTACACGTCAGAGCTGCCTACTTGTACGGTTTCTGCGTATTTTGTACGCTAAAGACTGAAAAAATATGATTGTACACAAAGCCTATTTGATTGTACACCTCTTGAGTTTTTGCTAATACAATTTCGTTTCGCAGTTCGTTTCATTTTGCATTCTGAGTTTTGTAATGTACGACTGGTTTCTGTCTACAAACCTTGTGGTGTAGTAAGATTCATACATACGGGCGCTGTTGCTCTACAGAACCAGTAAAGCGATTCTGATTTTTAATGCTTAGAAAAATGGCGGCAAAAGGAAGAGTGAAAATTCTACAGTTCTAAAGACAGCATACAGCCAGAAATACTTGGAGAACTATGCCTTAATACCTGGAATAGCTAGATCCTGCCGTGGTGAATCGTATGCTTATTATTCATATTTTAAAGCTGACATTTCAATTGGACACTCTGGAAAGTTTGACATAACCAGGCATCTCAGAAGCAATACCCATAAAGTCAAGGAAAAGATGGCAAAAATGAATTACTCACTTCATGCCAGCGAAAGTGATTGAAGATGATGAAAAGTGTGTTATGCAAGCGGAAGCTGTTCTGACCGAATTATTTGTTAAAATGAACTTATGTTTTCATTCAGCTGAAATTATATCCTCTTTTGACAAAGATCTGTTTGTCGTTCATGTAGACCTGAACGACAGGTGGGCATTGTACACATAAGTTTTCCAAAATACACAAAGAAATTAACTCAGCTACACATGGACGCATTTGCAGGTAGGCAGCTCTGTCACACGTTGGTGCCACTGTGTCAGGATCTGTCTGTCTGTCTGTGTCACTCTGAAGATTCCCTTTGGAGTCCCTTTTGGAAATGGCCCATAGCAGTCAATGGATCCTTTGATCACTCCAATGTCTTCTCTGTATTGTTATCTCAACACCATGGGACTTTGTTCATAATATTCACCACTGGTTCTAGTAGACTAGTCCAGACGCATTTGCAGGCTTCCATGATATAGCTGTCATTAAACAGCATTCACTTAATAAATGTGGAGAAGGAAAAATGGTATGCAAGAATAGCTGGAACAGAATCTCAATTGGAGAATTATCTTTCAGAATGGCTTCACCCCGCTTCACCTTGCGGCCCAGGAAGGACACACAGACATTGTGTCCCTGCTGCTGGAACACCAGGCAAATGTCAACGCTAAAGCTCAAAACGGCCTCACCCCCATGCATCTCGCTGCTCAAGAGGACAAGACCCCAGTGGCGGAGATCCTTGTCAAGTACAAGTCTGAGGTTGACCCCACTACAAAGGTAAGTAAATACTTGTCCTGAATTACTTCTAGAGATCTACAGGATTTTTCCATGATTGGCTGTGCAGAATTACTCCTCAGGGGCTTGCCAGAAACCTGAGATTGTGAGTTTGAATCTTGGATTTTCCCCGATTACATCTGTAGGTTTATCAGCACCCATGCATCTTGTAATAATAATTTATGGGGATAATGAATTTCTGAATTTAATGTAAAACAGTTGAAATTACTTAAATGAACTTAATGTATTACAGTATGTCTTAAAATTGTAGCATTTGTTCCTTAAGATTCCATGTTGTCTCCACAGGCTGGCTACACTCCTCTGCACACCGCCTCCCACTTTGGACAACAGAACATGGTTCGTTTCTTGCTGGACCAGAAGGCCTCGGTCAACGCCACCACCAAGGTGAGTCATACACAATATTGCCAATGCTGTTTGAGAGTGTGTGGAGTTGATTGGCCACCACAGAGGAGGGTCGTACACAAGATTGAAAGATTGAAGGATTGTCTAAAAAGAAATTGCAAAAAATAAATTCATTCCATTTAACCAAAAAACCAACTTATGAAGTTTTGTGTGACTGTCTCAAGACTTCATTTGCAAAACATTTCAGGCCCATAACAACCCACTGAAGGTAAACTGTGAGCTTACACTGAACTGCTTCTGATTCTGGCAGTGTTCAGCTTCCAATATTTAGGTCATCGCTCCCCTCTCAGCCATGTATATATGCTTACTCTTTATGTATATGCCTGCATCTGATGGGTTAATATCACAAGTTATGAACAATAAACAAAGACAATAATTAATGTTTTATGTTAATCAGTAACTATGTTGATCTGTCAATTTGAAAATATATCAAGAAAAGTATGAAAATTAAAGTATTAAAATCAAGCTGATCAAAGGTTGCTCACCATGACCGATTTTGTTAAAATGTCTTTTATTGGACTGAGACCTTTTGTGAAAGATTATAATTTTAATAATAGTAGTAATAATAATGCTTCTTTTGGACAATATCTACCGTAGTACACTGTGGCTATTGTTGATGACACACAGGTGTGCTTTAAGTTCCCGATTCAGGTTAAAATGAGAGTTGTTTAATACGACATGGTATTTCCTGGTAGGCTGCATATAGCAGAATCTGCAACTGTGCCCCCAAGCTTATTTGTTTCTCTCCTACCATATCCTACATTTGCTGTCTGAAATATAAAAAATGAATCACGACTATGATTCACCTGTAAACACAGAGAGAATATGAACTATTGGGATACGAATCATATCACACCCTTATCAGGATACGTATTGTATTGCGGCCTCATCATATTGTTACACTTCTAATTGTATTGGGGTGGTGGGGTAGCCTAATGGTTAAAGCGTTGGCTCACGCCGAAGACCCGGGTTCGAATCCCCACATGGGCACAATGTGTGAAGCCCATTTCTGGTGTCCCTCGCCGTGATGTTGCTGGAATATTGCTAAAAAAGCGACGTAAGCCAAACTCAGTCAGTCAGTCAGTCAGTCTAATTGTATTGATAAGTTAGTGTATGTGTTCATTTGTTAGTGTTGTATTCATGTGTTGTATGTGTTATTGTATTGATACATGATTGTATTTATATGTTGTATGTGTTTCAGCTGGGCTACACTCCCCTGCATCAAGCAGCCCAACAGGGCCATGTCCAGGTGTGCAACATCCTGCTCAAGCAGAACGCCTCACCCAACGCTGTCACCAATGTGAGTAGCTTCCACTGTGAAACTACAACAATCATGTGATATACTGCATAAAATAGTTAAGGACCACTTGATGCTGTCATTATAGTAGTAAATCAGTCATGCCATGGTTAACTATAACGATATGAAAGAATCGGGTGATCGTTCACTTCTTTTAAGTAGTATATATGTTGTTATACCTCAACCACATTATTTCATTATTCTAACAATGACCCAAATAACTGCCACAAACATGTCAGTGTATTCCGTGGAGAGAAGCAGGATGTCCTTGTGCTGAGCTAAATTTTCAAATTATATTTTTCATGTGCAGATATTATTCCACAGCTGCAGATTACTGTTCAAGGTCCTTACTTCACTGAACCATAATAATGTCCTATTATAATGGGTCCGTGTGTTCATCTTGAATGTCAGTGGGGATTCAAAGTTAGAATCTATTTCAACCAATGATTGTTGTAACACGTGACCAAAAGGATTGGGTGGTCAGGTGACCTGGCTGATTGCGTGTCTTCCTACCCAGTCAGTGTCAATCATTCCTCACTGGATTGTCTGGCCCGGACACAATTATTTACAGGCTGACGTAATATGCATGCAATTATGCCAAGTGGGGCATTAAGCATCATTAAACACGGGGCGGTGGGGTAGCCTAGTGGTTAAAGCATTCGCTCGTCATGTCGAAGGCCCGGGTTCGATTCCCTACATGGGTACAATGCGTGAAGCCCATTTCTGGTGTTCCCTGTTCCCTGGTATTGCTGGAATATTGCTAATACCCAACTCACTCACTCACTCACTCACTGATCATTAAACACACATCAACAGAATGTCCTTTTGTGTGCTTCCAGAACGGTCAGACACCTTTGGCCATCGCCCAAAAGCTTGGCTACATCTCCGTCGTGGACACCCTCCAGGGAGTCACTGAGGTGCAGACCATCCCCGCCACCGAGGACAAGTACAAGGTCGTCTCCCCAGAAACCATGCAGGAGACCCTCATCTCCGACTCAGAGGATGAAGGAGGTAAGCACCTGTCAAACCTATATCTATGTTTGGACTGTTCCTATGAACTGATTTATGAATACCTGGAAGAGTCCAAATCTTTCTACAGGTGTAACTTTTTGTGATTAAGATTTAGATTCTTCCAGTGGTGTATTTGTTACACAGGATATTTGAAAGGATCCAGACTCTCTGTGGGACTATGGAATATTTGCAAATAGAATTTTGGTATATTATTCATTACACAGTGTCTCTGAGCATCCAGGATCTAGAACAAACTATTTAATTAACATTATAACCGTTGACACTTGACATGGTATGACACTTTTTAAAGTTAATTCTGAAAATATTTGATCAAATCAATTATTAGCTTTTAAAGCAAGGGACACTGAATTTGTTTGTTGATTAATTACTTTCTGTTTATGTGTTGTGGTTACCTGTCATTGATTATGTGTATTTTGTGTGTATATTGGTTAAAATGTTAAATTAACATGGTGCTTTCTTTCAGGTAATATTATTTATTCAAGTTTTTTGTGTTGATAGTTGTATATGTAATTTTTTGCAGAGATTTTAAAATATATATAACGGCACATATTTAATATGATCTTGATAAAATACTATCACTATCACCCAACGATCACTCTTTTGACACAGCTCAGTGAGAAAGTTTTTTTCTAAGCTTCTGTAAAATGTAACGTAAGTTTGCCCTTTAATGACAAGTGTCTCTTTACAGTATCAAACATACTGGAATCTCATCAGCTGGATTCAGTACACCTTCTTTCTGTTCCTTCTGTTTCTTAGCAAATCTTTACCTGATGTAATTTGATTCCATATCAAACTAAATTAATTTGTTAAATATAAATTTTGGATGAAACGGCAACTTGAAAACACATATATCCTACACAGAATCACACAAATGACGGCTGTGAGGTTTGTTTTTCAGGCAGCAACCGAAACTCCCGAGATTCGGGTCTGTTCGGACGAGGTGAATTAATTAGCCCAAACTCCTCTCTAGTGAATTATTATATCCACAATGTAGCTGAAAAAACCAGCGGCCTTGTTTTGCTTGCTTTCCATCGTAGGCACATGGTTACACAGCTTCCAGGGTAAAATGTACTGCTTCATTCATGCCAGATCTGACCACACCCACTTCCCAGATCTGTCCAACCATAGTTGTTCATATTGAATGGGTTGCGCCTGTGTATGTAAATTAGGTGTTGTGGGTGGTCTGTGGTGAATGATTGACAGGTTGGTGGGGGGAAAGGTTCAGGTGCTTGTAAGGTGTCGTAGGTTGCAAGTGTGTCCATCAAACAGAATATTTCAGCTCTTGTCTTGTTCCTTAATGTCAGTCGTGAGTCGCCTGGATAGAAAAGCGATATTGTAATTGATTTAATTGAAATTGTTATTATTATTATTATTATTTTTTAAAGTATTGTTTATTCACTTTACTTGGTTACAGTTGAACAAGACTATGGGTAGAGTAAAATGTTACAAATTACATATGAAAAAAACAGACAGTATAATGTATATCAAGGAAGATTTTTATTATTATAATTTATTAACTGTAAATAGTCACAAATGTAACTACACATTGATTACTGCATGTATCTTTGCGTAAGGCTGGTTTAAAGTAAGGTGAAATATAATACAGATCTGAATTCAACTATGAGGTACCTGACATCAGAGGAGACTTGTTATTGAATCCTCAATAAATTACCTATTAACCAGTACTAAATGATAAAAGACAAGGGGCACTTGCTTGATAAAGGTGTTAGGATCTACACAACAAATGTCACTACAAATGCTCAGTGAATTTCATTCTCAGCTCCCTGGGGCATATACAAACAGGGAATTTGGTCTACATTTTCTTCATGTATCCAACATCAATCTATGTTCTGTGTCTCTCCTATACTTCTTTAAGTTTAACTGTTCTCTGAGTCTGTTAATGTTAACCTAAAAGTAGGACTTAAGTTTCAGCGAAACCCACTCACCCATGAGTCTCCTGTGCACTGAATCTTCCCATCCAGCACACTTCTACCTTTCACCAAAACTACACAGACTGTCTAGAATAGAATAAGATTGTTTCTTACTGTAGGGGAATGGGGAGACCTAGATAAGTAGCATTCATCATGAGTGTTCTCTAGCTCATACCTGTATACATCGTCTATTGACTCATCGTTAGCTTTATGCTACAACATTGCTGCTGCAACTGTAGCCATCATTGCAGCAACTCAGATTCCATACAGCTCCAGTATATATATATATATAGCTTAAGTGAGCTCTCAAAGCTTCCTGTCAACTTGTACGAGTTGAGCTTTTGATGTAACCGTTTTGCCATTTTATGTAGAAACATGGTAAGTATGTGATATTTGCAGGGATGGCAATTTCCCGCGGATCCGCGGAGTTCTACCGATTTTGTTTCAAATTGATCAGTTCTGTGAATCGTCTAAATCTGTTGAATCCCCCTCAACCCCCCAATTTGATGACATAATATTAAGTTTACAGCTGAAAATTGATTTTCCTGTTGCCATCCCTGTTTTTGTAGGGTTGCAAAATGGTCTCTCAGGCAAAAATTACATTTGACATATTTACATAAAATAATGAGAATCAGTCCTTAAATTCAAAATACACAAAAATTCTTTGATATCTTGTGTGCAAAATGTTTTTATAAGTTTAGTGTTAAAAATATTTCAATTAACTACCAATACAAATTGGTTACTATGCTTACAGTTTCAAAGTAATGCCTGTTTTAATGTGGCACTGTCAAACGTGTCATTGATGACTGATAGTTGAACAGTTTTTACAACATGGAATGAAATCTTGTATTTAGATCTGTTTAAGATAAACCGATTCTTGTTTATCTTTGTTTACTTCAGCACTTGTTTTGACAATGTTCATCCTGTTTATTTCCTTCCTTTGTCCACCTAGCTAGTATTTTGTTTCAGATACATCGCGCCTGTCAGGTTTCCTAGGTAACCAAAATCTCCTCGTTGGCCAGACTGTTCGTTTATTAACCCCACCTGGCTACGTCGCTCCCAGCACTCTATAATGTTTCGTCTTGCTTCTTCCATCAATCTGGCAGTTGACATCTCTACCTTTACGATTACTTCAATATTGGATGGAATTAATCACTTCTTGAAGACGAAATTAACAAATTTCTTTTAGCTCAACAAGGGATCAAACAGTGGTGAATGATAGGTGCTGGTTTGGTCAGAATGTGTATTTTACATTTCTATGACATTTTTGCTGTAACTACAAATTTATCAGCATAGCCATGTCTTAGTCTCAATGCCATGAACAGTGGTCATATATATATATCTATATCTATATCTATATATACACACACACAAGTATTTCAGGAGCAAATTTGGATTTTTCTTTTCTTTGTCTTAAATTTTGAGCTCTTTTAAAATTGGATAAGTGAACACAGTTGATAGAGAAAATGGATTAATTCATCAAAATTATTGGGTTTATGCAAGTTGCATTTGTAAAATAAACAATTCTGACCCCAGTGTTCATCTGACATTCCTCTGCATCCCCAACTCTGCTGCACAGACATGTTGCTTTTGCCCAAAAGAATCTCTCGTTTAGTCTAGAGTCTGTACTTTCGTTGTGTTGAACTGCACTTTGCTTTTATCCAAGGGAGCGTATTCGGGTCGTATCGCAGTGATCAAGTGTCAATCCTCACTTTTTCTGGGGCATTACAAGGTAAACCCTGTCCGTGTGTGTCTGGGTGTTGGATAACCCACGTACCACCTCCACCTGCGTCCATACGTCCACATGTCCATCCGTCCATACGCCATGCTTTCACCCGCTATACTCAATCTGTCCGTGCACAAAATCATTGTCTATATGTTCTTATCTGTTTATTGAAGTCTGAGGTTTGAGGATGTCTTTCATTTTAGTTTGATATTTTTATTTCTAGTGTCACAGTTCTGAATAAGTAAAACATATCAGAATAATTATTGTTTTCTGAATACAGTTTAATTTAATGATCTTTTAATTAGTCATAACCACTATAAGTTTTTATGAAGGCAAAATGTATGCCCATTTTCACAGTAAATGAATTATAATTAGTTTTTCGGGATGAAAACATTGGACAGTATTGCTTAATATGAAATATTTATTGCCCAGTTTCTCAGACCTTCCTGCTTAGGGTAAAGGGTATCTTCCTACTATGTTACTAAACCAGATAACCCTACATTCTAATCAATGTGAAACTTCTAGATTCTTGTTGACTTCACTAGATCTTCCCTAGATCTTCCCTAGATCTCCACTAGATCTCCACTAGATCATCTAACACACGTCAAACTCTAACAATTGTATCTCTAATTCCCACCACCTTGTGGCCTGCCATTGGAGCTATCTGGACACAATTAACCTTTTACAGACCGTGGACATGTCAAATTATGGTTGATCAAAACTAACTGTGTCCTGTAACTTTTCTTTCAGCAGGCCACAAGCTGACAATTCAAAAATCGGAAAAGAGTCAAATCCAGTTTCTCAGTTGTGGGATTCAATTAAACTAAACTAAAAGTTTTTAAATCGGTGTTTTATATTGATTTCAGGTATTTCTCCTCTACTACACAGAGCTAGGCAGACCGTTGCGTCAACACATGACAACAAGTTTAAAGGTGGTCACATGACCTGCATGAACCTTATGACCTTTCCCTTTTGACCTTGTTAAGATATATCCTGTGTTATCTAATGACCGTTTCTGTCATAATGTCTTATGGAATGAAAGCTGAAGATTTCAAACAACCGATTCTAATATGGGTCATTAATGATCCTGGTCTAATTATAAATGTAAATCTGAATCAAATTAATACATCAATATGCATGTGGCACGTTACAAATAATAATTTATCGAGGAAATATTAATTGTTCAAATATATTCTGGAATGTTCTGTCCACATAAGCATCACAATCCATTTGATGGATATTCCAAAATTAATTTAACCTCTTTAAACTCTTTAACTGTGCTACCAAGAAAGTTTCTAACAAAGTTTAACCTGAAATGAAAGGTACTTTCAAACATAATGAAATATCATATCTTCGGTTTCATTTTGTTCCCTTTGTGCTGTTTTAGCCACCATTAATAATCAGAAAATCGCAAGGATTATCCCACTAAAAAATGTCCGAAGCATGGGAATTTTTAATTTGATAATGTAGGGCATCACTGGCTCAAAGATGAGAACCATGCGTCAAAGGATTTTATGTCTGCTTTCATATCAGAATTGAAATTCCCATGAAAGGTAGCATACTTTTCAAACATTCACTTGAAATGAACTGAACTAAGTGACAATATTTCAATGTTGTCATGGAACAGTTACATTTGATTCTATGTCTGTACAGTATTGATTCTCTAATGATTCTGTTTTAGATTATTTTTCAGGCGTTGAATAGCTGAAAACAAGCACCTGTCACAACTGTTGATTAAACTTTAACTGTAAGTGAATGTCATGTGATTTCTTTCTCCCTTCACGCTGCTTAGGAGATGACTTCCTGCCACAGTCACCTCTGTTTGGCAAACCTCTGTCCGAGCAACACGTGTACTTGCCTTATTACGAGGGGCAAAAGATGCAGAACCGTAAGTTTCAGCCGAGCATGGCCCATTGGAGCATGGGTGTTGTCCAGCCTGCAGCCATTGCCGCCCACCAAGTCAATTAGTAGCTTTATTTCCTTTTGTTTTTACAGCATCTTTCATTAGATTGCCTACATTTATTTGGTTTATTTTTATCAGTTTGAAAATTGATGAGTAATTGTCATAATGTCAGTATATTTGTTAAGTATCAGGAAACGTGGGATCACAGTGTTACTTCCCACGCCCCCAAACACCAACAAATATTAGTTAATAGAACATGTTATACCAACTTAGCCAATATCAGAATGTAGAAACATGCTCTAGGAGAAGTCCAATATGCATTGTGCCGTTTTCTTGATCACAACTGTTATACTGTTGCAATTGATTGCGTTATATAAGAAACAAGCATACATATTAGCAATTACTACCTGCCCGTGTAGGATACTGCAGTGTAAAAATTTTACAGCAGTATTACACTAGTGTAAAACCGCTAGACGTATGACGTCATAATGGCTTACAGTTATGACATCACAATGCTAATACCTCTGTCGCAATGGTACTAGACCTTCCTTACCTCGTGGAAAGCTGAGAGTCATCACACTGTAGGCTGTTTTGCCGCAGTGTCTTTCAATTCATGTCGGAGATTAATAAGCAGAATATTAAACTCGCTTCCGTGAAATACCATTTTTATTGAACTCATGAAAGATTTAGTATCAAACTTGCTTTCACTCATTTGATACCAAATCATTAATTCGTTTGATAAAAAATGGTAATACACGGAAGGTTGTTTAGTATCTTCTATGTATTTCGCGATGCACAATAGGGTCCCACAGCAAAATACAGTTTCGGTTTGGAGTTTTCTTCAGGGTACCGGTACATTTCTGTATTTGACTTTGTTTAGGGCATGTTTCTGTGTACAGAAACCTTTTTTGGGTACATATTTGTAGTACCTGTGCCGACAATGATCCATTCAGCTGTAGTTTGTGATATTTGATTGTAACTGAATGTCAAATGCTCATCATTTTCTGTAGTTTATTGACTCTACCTGAGAAATATTCAGCCAGGGGGGATAACCAGCATTTCCATTCCAAATTTAAACTATTTTTCTGCATCAGTTTTAAGGACTTTATGTTCTCTAAAGAGATGCAGAAACATGTGAGAAATTTTAAATGTATAATTTAATATCCTACGTCCTTATGAAAGTTTATTCATTTCTTTAGTAGATTGTTTCAAAAGTACATAATTACTCGAGACATGCTATTGCAACACGAACACTCACTATCACTTTTAAATTCTTTGTGTTTCTTTTTAAATTTATTTTATGGTTTTGGGGAAATATGGAAATATCTTTCTATCAGCTGGTTCCTTTTGTTTAATTATGCTTGTTTACAATCTACACATGTATAGAGACTATCAGGGTTTCTTGACAAAATCTTAATGGTTCCATTCAGTTTTTAAGAAACATACTGAAAGCATTGCTCAACACAGTATGTTTCTGTGGTAATTTGTTTACAAATTTTTTAATACCATGTATTCTCATGTGGAGATATTGAAGCTAAGACACCCTGATAGGGGATAGAAATTAACCTAGAGAGTCGAATAGTGATAACATGTAGGAACTCAATCAAAATTCAGCATTCTACCAACCCTTAGGATACCTTTTAGTTTAATATTAGAGAGATTGACTTTTGTTAGGAAGCTAGTGGTAATTTCTATCCCTTCTGATTGACAACCATTAGAATGTGTTATGTTTTCACTAATTTTTTATATATTTTGCCTCTTTCATATACATAAAATATATCAATGTATTTATTTTAAAATAGTCATTGTAAAATGTTGAGCTTACACAAATGACTACCAAAAAAACATTGATATGTTTTAGTTAATTTTAATCATAGATAATGCATTGCATTTTTTGTTACTGATACTTTGCTTGGCCCTTTAATATTATTGACTGAATTATTTTTTATAGCAGTGTTGATGACAGACGTTTGTCGTCAGTCACTGATACCATTATAATTCCCCTTGTATATGTGCATTTTAAAGGACACCTATCGGCCATGTTTGTTGGAAATTGGGCTACTTTGGTTTACTTTGAAATTTGATACCAGATAAATTTGTAAACATCAGAAATTTGACATCAACATTTTGGAGATACTGGAAAATGGAAGTTTTATTATGATGTGCGACAGTAACATTGATGGGTCCACATTTTAACAAACGCAGTTCTTCACAAACTGTTGTACCTAAATATTATATTTATTTACAAAAGTATTTGATTCAAGCCATGAGGCAAGCCTGACCCAACCCTTATTATTGTAGGGAAGTGTCTGAAAAGGACATGTAGACAAGTTTGTGCACATCCAAAACAGACATGGCAGGTGTCCGGTGCATTCTTGCAATACCCTACTACCAGTGTTCCTTACTGAGGCATGCATACTGTGATGTTTTAGTGGAAGCATTACTATTTATCTGTGCCACTTAGAATGTTACCATGATTTGTTAACTTTGAACATTCAAGCAATTTTTCAGGGTTTGTCCATGAGATTGCTGAAGCTGAATTTAAGTTTTTGTAATTTTGTGTATTTGTAAAATGTTGTATCATTGATAAAATTGTATTTGATTTTCAAGTTAAAGTATGATATATATGTGAGGAAATTGTGATATATTTAAACTTTTCTTTAGAAATGGTATGTTTGGTATTGTTGAGGCTGAAAGTTCTCTTTGTTGAGGCAAGGTAATCATGCCTTCATTTTTAGTTGTGTACCAATGCATCTTCATGCTGCAATACTCCTAACAACTACTAACAATAACAACCCTCATGTGTGTACTTGGTATATCAACAAGCATATTCATAGTTATATGTTTCTTTTCTATATGTCCTTAATTATTTTACATGTATAAGTATGTAAATTGTAAAGAATTTTGTCTCCTAACAGAATTATAAATATTCATAAGTGCCTGAAATTTTCTTAATTTTAAAGATAACTTGTTTGTTCTGTCTGGAATAATGGTATTCTCTTTCAGATGCATCAGTTCATTACAGTAAACACATTTTCAAAATGGCCGACATTGACGTCTGCTTTCTTTTACAGGCGAGGACAGTCTGTCATTGGAGCGTGGTGGCAGCATCTCCCCACTGGATCAATCATTTGAGAAGGTCAGTTTGGTGTCTGACTTTGTCATGAATGGTCATCACCAACACGTGTGGACACTGTCAGTATCTGTGACAACATCAATGTTGTGACATCTTGTGATTAAATCAGCATGCCACTACTCTCTCCTCTTCATTTTAAATGGTTTTTCACATGGAGGTGCAGCCAATGTAGTTTGAATAGTTTGTTCTCCTGAAAATTGTCATCCAGCAAGAAGTGTTCTTAATGTCAATGAATCATCACTCTCTGAAAAATGAATTACCTTGCATCAACCAGGGCTATCTTGGTGCTACAGTTTTGTAATTCCATTTATATGGGATTACAATTGTCTTAGCAGTAAGATCCAAATATGCACCCAGTAAAGTATATGTGCATGTCAGACAGTTTCCAATGAGGCATGGCCTATTTATCATGCTTGGCTTTAGAACAATGTATTTGTGACTATCTTGTGTAAGTGAAAGTAGTAAATTTCCCCCTTGACCAGGGTCAGCTGCACCCCATGCTCACAGCTCTGTGATATTGTTATGTTGGCTTAATTGGCTGTTTATGAATACCCTCCCTTGTTCAAATCATTTAAATCGTGTGATGACAGGATTTTGAAAATATAGTGTGTGCCAGAATTATTCCATGTATTAATCTGAGGCCATTTTCATGCCTTCTATACAGGGTGTCAATATCAAAGACTAACATTAATCGACTTACAGAAAGTTCGCAAGATGTTAGACTAATTTATGAAATTGCAGATATATACTTCTGTCTTTTTATTTGAGTTTGTCTGGGACATGTTTGTCGCTGTCATCAAGGGAGAGTATTTGCCGGTCCTTAAATTCATTTAATTGAATACACTTTATTATTTTGTAATCTCTACCTCAGTTTTGATGATTTTTCATGATTTTCATTTTCCCAACACCCCTTGTTCAATCAGTAACTTGGCTTATGCATGGCAGTGATATTATTTGGTTTGTGTTGCTTGTCTCCCGATCTTAGGATTATCAATTGCGTCACGCAACCGACCCCCGAGGGCGCGTTATCAGCGAGATTGGTGCCTCAATGCATTACCCCTCCTACCTGGAAAAATCCCCCAACTACGAAGCTGAGATGATGTACTACAGAGGGGAAACCCTCTCGCCAAAGGATAAGGTAAAATGGTGGCCATCTTGGATCTAATTCTGCATCAATGGTGGCCATATTGGATTGCTGATTAGTTCATTAAAACAAGAATCAACATACTCTCACAATGGCAATACTATGCATCATAGGAAGAAAAGTGACCGAAATGCATGAATTCCCTGATCCTCTAAGTGGTTGCGACATGCAGCTAGATTAGAATCGTACCAAATTCAATCATTAACCAGCATACACTGCACGAATTTGCACCTCATTGTAATCTGATGTTCATTTAATATTTTGTGAGTGTTGTTGTCATCTTGTGTTCACGAACCTCTGAATTTAGTTAGAACCAATATCTTTTACAAAGCTAATTTCATTTAAAGCTATATTAATCTACTTCCAGTCTCTCAAACAGATATTCCAGGATAGAAGAATTGAAAATGATTTGAGATTGAAAAACATGATTGATTTACTAAACTGAATTGAAAATACATTTTTACACATTTTTTTACGTGGAAACACTTAGTTGAATTCAGTCAAAATTTGATATTAATTGGATATACGAAACACAATGTTAATCCAGGTTTCTTTAAAGTCATCAAATGTCTGTAAAACTCTATGGTGTCAGGGGCGGTGGGGTAGCCTAGTGGCTAAAGCGTTCGCTCGTCACGCTGAAGACCCAGGTTCAACTCCCCACATGGGCACAATGTGTGAAGCCCATTTCTGGTGTCCCCCGCCGTGATATTGCTGGAATATTGCTAAAAAACGGCGCAAACCCATACTCACTCACTCACTATGGTGTCAGTTTTAATTCAGTGTTAACTGTTGTCAGTGTTAACTCTTGCAAAAATGTTAACTGTTGTCTTTGTAGCAGTCCGAAAAAAGTTGGTTAACACTGGGGCCAGTTGCACAAAGTGGTCTTAGCAAAGTGACTGTCATAAATCCGTGTGGAATGTATGATTGTCTTGGCACTACGATCATTGTGTAGAACAGCTCCTGGTTTTTTTCAAGTGCATTTCATGGCATCAAAATGCAACAGTAATTGCCATCTCTGGAATATCTGTCATATTGTAAAATACATGTATCTTATCTTCATTATTTTGAGTGTGAAGTTTTGTTTCTCAAGTGACACGATAAATATGTCACTCTTTTTTTATTTATTTGTACTCTTTTTTTTTTTTTTAATGTATTCTTACAGCATTGCCCAGGTCCAGAAATCTTTGTGCTTATTTTGAGAAGATGAGATAAAGGATGTGAATCATAGGATTCCAATATTTAGTACTAGTACATGTTCCTTTTTGAACTGATATTATGTTTGGAGATTGTAAGAAATATCCAAACAGCTTTTCTCTGTGAGAAGTTCTTTCAGAAATAAGTGAAAATGAATCTAAAACAATCTGAACACCAGTTGTAATGTTTCTGGACATGGGCCAGTGACTCTGTGCATGGATGTGCTTATTTTTGTGTTTTTTTGTTTACGTCACACCAGGATAGCAAATCGCGAATGGACAGTGTTTTTGGCGATTACTCCATGTCAACCCTTGGCCGAGACTCCACTCTCGGTAGAGATTCCACCCTTGGCCCTGACTCCCTCAATTACGAACCTCAGTTTCGCTCAATGGGGGATAGCACAGGCGAACTAGAGTATGATGACGATTTGAAATACATGGCTGATGAACTGGCCTTGAAGAAGGTAATAGCTACTGAATGGTACCAACAGACGACGCCATTGTTTGGGGTTTTTGCATGGGCAGCAGTATGTGTCTGCACCCACGCCATTCAGAATGACCTTCACCTTGACCTAGACTTTTCAAAGTGCCATCTTTCATTCAGAAGTAGTCTTGTAGACCCTGAAAATTGGGTTTCTTTGCTTGGGAAACTTTGTGGATATGTTTATCTATCAATATAAATGTTGTCAAATTACTTTGACATGCTATGGAATGTTTTTGTATTCTGTGAGGTTAAATTTCAATGTTGTTGCATGGTATATGTTTTGATGTTGTTCACTAAACCCTTCCAACCACTGTAGATATACATAGAAAACGGGTTACAGTAATTGTAAAGAAAGGGCTTACATTTTTATGGCATTTTGGCAGGAACATAACATGAGTTAATTATCTCTTTCATCATCAAACAATATTTCAAAAATTTTAAACATTTAAAAAAATATTAAATATTTTGTTTGGAATCTGCCAATGTGGCCCAAAAAGCTCTGTGATTGAACATGAGACCCTGTCCTGTTTGAATTATTTCAATATTTGTTTACACCTTTCCTGATCATGAGACAATGAGCCATGATCAAATTTACAATTTCTCTTTTATCGATTATCTTTGGATGAAATTGTGAATCCTTTTTTAATGTTGTGCCATTTTTTGCATGTTTATGAAAAAAGCCTTCAGTGGAAAATGTTTAGTTGTTTTTTAACGTAAAATATATACATACATAGTATGAAATGCTAAGTTGTCAATTTGGATATAGATTGAGTTTAACTCTTTTTCATCTTTGAAACCTGGAATATTGCTGAGTGCGGCGTAAAACTAAACTCACTCAACTTTGAAACACATGTTGTAGAAGATTGGTAAATATCTTTCTTTTACCAAACAGCAGTCAGTTTATCCCAAATTTGAGGAGATATGAAGGGGGAAAAAAATGAATGTATATTTAATTATAAGAAATATTATAATTTTATACATGTGTAAATATAAATTTGCACTGAAGGTTTTTACTAGTGGTAGATCCTGCTTTTTATGTTTTTTGGTTTGTTTCTGTGTCTAACATTTTCGTTTTTTCCTGCACTAGAAACAAGATTTAATGTTCAGCGAGGATTTGTATGCCCGTGAGTCCTTAAAATATGGGAAAGAGGCTGCGCCAATCTATCGTGATTCGGCATCCTCGCTGCAGGCATCACTCTCCCCTGCCTCGCCTAAATTCATCGACGTCGTTTACCAAGGCGATATTTCTGGTACAAGCAGTCTTAACGAAAGTTTCAAACAATACCCTGATGACTCTGTCTCGAACAAAGAGGTAAACTATCAAAGTGTACGTGACAACATCAGTTTTTATGCCGCTGTCATATGATAATATTGGTGATACGAAGATAATTAGTGAATTTGACTGAATCAGTGTTGAGTGGGAACCGTGTAGAAATGGTTGTGAAGGCAGATTGTGCCATTCAGTAAAAGACAAGTTTCATGCATTCTCACATAAGGAGGTGTACTAGGTTTTCGGAGTGCTGAACTTTTTCTGAAACATCTATTTAATTGGTTAAGAAAAGCTTTTATCTGATATTCAGTGGAATGTTCAAAATGGAAGACAAATTAACCTCCGCAGAGTACTGTTACTACCAAAAATGAAAACAAACGCAAAGGTCACACTATCGTAGACGTATGATATTACGATACCAAAAGATGATTGATTGGAGTTTTTGGTAAAATCAAAAAAAAATTCACATATATTTCTTTAAATTTAAGTTTCTTACAAACTGCAAGAAAATTATATTGAGTAGGTTGTATTTTTTGGGTTCACCTAATTATAAAAGGATTGGCGAAGCACAGCATTGTCAAAAATCATGGCTTACTACAAAGATGTGTATGAACTTTCCATTAAAAAAAGGCAGGGATTTGCTAACATGGTATTTTACTGGACAGACTCAATGACTAACACACTCAATTCACATTTCACCAGGTCTTGCCAAAATGTTCATATAACAGAAACCATGAGAGTTCCTGTATGTTTTGGTGCTAATGTTTGAGTAAATAGATAAAATTGTGTGCGTTTGCAAATTTACTTCAAGGACAATATTCAGTGTGTCAAGGTCATTGAATGCTTTACCACTGCTCCCTTTCAACTTCAACACAAACAACGCGTAACATGTTGCACAATCAGACTTAATACTTCTTGGTTTGATATACAAACGTGATCTACAGATACTGGTAATCACATCTGTGGCAGAATGTCTGTGAACTACAATTTGACACACTGTTAAGAAAAGTAGTTTCATAGTTCCATAACTAGAAGTATGTTTAAAGAGGATGATTTTATAAAAACACTTTCAAAGTGCTGACTTTACATTATATAATCGTCAGCAGTTACTGGAATTTCAGTATTACTTTTTATAAAAATTAAAATTACCCAGACTTTAATGAAAATAGTTTCACAGTTATACACTTTTGTAATTTTTTAAATGCTCTTGTTGGTCAGATGATTCCTGTTTACTGATCATTTCACAATGTAAAAGCCAGTATATTCTAGGTTTTGTGTAGGTTTTTCTCTGATTCTCAATATCCTTGGAAATGGTTATCTTTTTAAGATGATAGGCACATTATGTGGTTTATTACAGAGCAGAGCTCAAACGTCAGAAGAAGTCTTACAATTTACGTCAGTACAGAATCACATATCAAATATCACTCTTTCACAGAAATATTTCTCATTCTGGATGACAGATTGAAAAGTATCCACTGGAAAAAAAAATCGAAGGCAATATTTTATTACATCTTCCGCGTTTGTGATGTTGGCGGGACTGCTATGTTAGGTTTCATTCATGATTGTATCCAAGGGCTATTATTATGGACTAACAGACACATTTGATAGGTGGAGATAATGTTGAATCTGACATCGGATTACGCTGATGTTTGAACTGTTTCTGATTTCCACTGATGTTTGCATGTAGTTGCATGAATCTCAGACCATAGTCCTGTTTTAACACTGTCAGTAGACCTTTTTTCCAGGTGATTATATATTTATCTCTTGTAATTTATTCATATTTGTACTACTTGTTGTTTTGAATTATACTTCGTCAATTTTTTTTTTTCTGTGCACTCATAATAAATCTTAAATAACAGGGTTTATCAATTAGGATTTTTTTTTTCAGCAAAATTGTACTTCTTTTTCATGAATGTCAAAAGTTTTTTGTTTTGTTTTATAGTTTCAAAATGGTCACCAGAAGACACACTAACCGATTTCTCTGCCCACAGGATTATATGGAGGCCCAGATCACGAGCTCTGCCTACGCCCCTGCCTATGCCACGCGCCCTGACAACCGCTACCAGACGGGTGCAGCGCCCCCAGGGAGAGGCAGCTCGCTACAGCTCATACAGTGGGTCATCATTCAGCACCAGTTTCGATCCCGACAACGTGCCTGTGGACAGGGCACCTGTTTATTCTGGGTAAGTAAACACCAGTGTGTTTATCAGTAACATAAACAAATAGCAGCATTAAGTGCATGAATGAAGTTACTGGGATGATGTCATGTTTTCTGCCTCTAATAAATTAATGTAAGAATCTTTCAGACTGGGTGTTAAGTATTACATTCAGGAATGGTTGTGGATATTAAATGGTCTGGGATGAGATAAGGTATTAAACTATTAGTGATACAAGTTGATATCAACTTCATGTAACATGTATTATTATTGAATCATTAGTATGGGGGAAATATACCTCTCAACTTTTGGGATGTTTCTGTATAACAGAAATGTCCCTATCAGAGTTGAGTAGTATTGGTTAGTGGTATGTTAAAAAAACAGGAACAAAAATAGGACAATATTTTTTATTTGAAATTAACTATAATTCCCTCTTGATTTAACAATAGTAACAAAATTTCTTTTTTAAGTAGAGCATTTGTGTGACTTTGTTGGAAGAAAAATAGGATACAGAGTACTAATACGAGACCCTGAACTGAGCAACATTGGTGATCTTGAAGCATTATCAGACTTACTACACACAAGGGAGACAACTCTTGGAGACTTAAACAGAAATTAACTCATAGTATTCTCTCGATATATTCATGTTTGAGTATAAGTTTTGTGTCAAATGTTGAGTATGTCACACTTTGATATTACTGAGTAAGTTTTGTTGCAAATAATATATTAAGAAAATACATGGCCATTTTAAATTAGTAATTTGAAGGGATGAGGTACTTATTTTCATGCATGAGTATTAATGAAGATATGGGATGTGTGATCATGCGATATAGTATGGGGAAAAATATACCATTTATATCCATTTACCTTATGTCTCCAAGAGCTGCCTTACCTTTATGTGGATGTGTTTAAGACGCATGGTTTGAGAGGATTTTTTTTACAATAATATTTTATTTGAAAAACCTGCTTTATTAAAGTATTTAGCTCACCTTCCTCCTGTTTTCCTTCTCCAATAGCAAACTGAAATGGAAAAGGTAATGTTGCTAGTGTGGTGTAACACCCATCTGTAGATCCCTAGCTCTCTGTTGTGACGTGTGTGTACGGACATTGCTGTGTGTAAATTGTTCAGGGTCATTTAGAGAACCATTCCACGGTTTTACATGACTCATGATTTTGTAAACTTCACCTCTTCTTAAGTCAGATTCTATAGTTGCTGTAGATTCAACTGATCTAATAGTTTTTACATAGAAAAATGTGTTTTAAATTTTAGAAAAAATTCTTTATGACTGTCTTTTTAAATTGTCAAGTTCACTTGAATAGTCATCCTTTTTTACGAATCAGTTTAGAATATGGCTTGGTGAAATTTTAATTATGGCAACATTAGAAATACAGCTTGATAAATGTTTTTTAACTTTTTAAGCTTTCTTGTCAATTGAAGTTTAGTTTCGAGTTTGTGAACATTTTAACATATATGCTATGACTGTTGCTTGTTTTAATTGTTAGTTTTTGTACTTGAAACAGTGGCGCCTAAAAGCACATGTATATAGCATGCCTTCTTGTTTTTGCATATTGATTTTCTAGTTTATGTATTTTTTAAATTGAAAAATGGGCTTATGTTAATTGAACCAAAGAGTACAATTTGCATACAGTTAAGGTAAGAAATCAGTTTCTGGAGGGATACAGTCATCCCAACTTTCCATGCATATATGGAATACCCTCTTGAGATGACAACTGTAGATTATGTATGTATCAAATTATTAGTTGTTGTGACTCCAGCTCTTACAATACATATATCTGTTGTGCTATTGATATACCCTGTGTTGCCTGTGTGTTGGTAGTGTATATATCATACCTGACATCCCATCTGTTTTTGAACGATTTATGTACTTGCATCTACAAAACATTTATTTGTGTCTAAATTATTGGAATATTTTGTACATGTTACATTAAAATACCTTCATGTGTACAGTATGTACCACATTTGTAAAGACTTCAGGGTGTGAGAATTGAAGGGCACATTTTAAAAGTTTCTTGTGTGAAAACTGAAAAGGATAATTTCATTGCTCCTTGGTGTGAGAATTAAACGCAGATTTGAAAAGATTCCTCATTTGAAAATGAAAGGGGATGTTTGTACCGCTTTTTTTTGGTAAGGAGTACGTACTCCTGATGTTAAAAAATTATATGGAGCCCTGGATGTTCACCCCATTGGTCATATATCTTATGATGAAAACAGGTTATGCCCTTATTTTACATACACTATCTGCATTAGAGGAATCCTCTGCTCTCCATGTTGTGTGCCTGTTTTGTTATCCCCCGCAACGCATTTTTGCGAGGGGTATTAAAATGGACTCCGTCCATGCGTGCGTGCATGCGTGCGTCCGTCCGTCCGTGCACATTTATCTTTTCCGGAGCATAACTCTAAAACCAGTCATTATTTCTTCACCAAACTTGGCACATACATTGATCTGGTGGTGTACTGTTGCCTTTTGGCAGTTTTGGAATTCTGAATAAAATATTTTTGGCGTTTCCATGGCAACAAGTTCGACTTAGACTGAAATTGGTGATAGTGCTCTTTTCCGGAGCAGAACTCTAAAACCAGTCACTATTTCTTCACCAAACTTGGCACATAGATTGGTCTGGTGGTGTACTGGTGCCTTTTGGTAGTTTTGGAATTCTGAATAAAATATTTTTGGCATTTCCATGGCAACAAGTTTGACTTAGACTGAAATTGGTGGTTGTGCTCTTTTCCGGAGCAGAACTCTAAAACCGTTCACTATTTCTTCACCAAACTTGGCGCATACATAGATCTGGTGGTGTACTGGTACCTTTTGGTAGTTTTGGAATTCTGAATAAAATATTTTTGGCATTTCCATGGCAACAAGTTCGACTTAGACTGAAATTGGTGGTAGTGCTCTTTTCTGGAGCAGAACTCTCAAACCGTTCGATAATCATGAAGAGTATTTTGCCATTGCTGGGGATATTGATGACTTTGTCCTCTTGTTGATCATTACAACGTGTATTCTTTCCAGTAGCAAGGAAAAGTGTCTAAGTTTGTTTTTTAAATGCATGGGAGGTTAATTGTCATGTCTCCATACATATATTTAAAAAAATGGGATTGGGTAGAGATCAAGGTGACATTGGAATTGGCTTTGTTTGTCCCGTTATAACAAGTAGTGTATGTCAACAGATTGATAAATGTTTCTTCAAACTCATATTAGGGTTTTGAATTTACAGTGCACAGTTTTGTCCCTTAGGCATGCCAGGAACCCTTTGATCTTCAGTTCAGTTCTCTTGAATCTGATCATGCAAGTGTGCCAGTACCAGGGGTTTGTGAGTTTCATCATGTCATGAGTGGCCCAGTCATATATAAGGCACCGGAATTCTCTGTGGAGAGTTGCCCTTCTTGAACATTGCAGGAACCGATGATTTGTGGATTTGAATCTTGATTATGTTTCTAGCTTCTGGCTCTCATCCCACATTAAGCTGACATACTGTGATATAACTGCTGTTTCTGTTCGTTCACTCACTCAGATTCTCAGAGTCATGCATGACAATGCCCTGCTCAACAACACAATGATTACTTGATGTGAAATGTTTACACAGAAATATGAAGATGTTAACTGAGACACCAATATCTTCCATAACATCCCGGATCACTGGTTGGATATCGAGACTGCTATCTGTAGCAGGTGGGGTCAGGTACATGTATCTGGCAACTCCTGGCAAAATGTCTTGCAGAGATTTGGACAGATTCCAAGGAAAATTTGGCAGGGGGTCTGAAATTCTGAAATATTTTACATCATTGTCTTATCTCAAGTTCATAATAAGAAATTACAGCACTTTCACCACTTTCCTCTGGAAGTTGACACGAGGAAGTTAATATGTAGCGTGTGATATCTGAGTCAGTGCTGGTAATGGATATATATGTACTCTGAAAAGTACCATAGCTTCAACTCAGGACGTTATATGGTACACAGCTGCCCTTAAACATGTCCATGATATACAGGACAAGAAGTACTGGCATATCACCATGGAGACCATCCTACTTTCAGCTGTCACTTTGTTGTATCTCATACTATCAGCCACTGATTTGTAAGATGACTGACAGACCTCCACAATGTATGGTTCTTTCAGCTGTGACTACATGTTATTCTCGTGTTTCCCAACTATCGACCATCCATAGGTATTTACAATAACTTACAGGCCTGTACGATATGTACCCCGAACACTGCTGACCGAGACAACATTCCAGCCTAACTGTATCTGACATGAATACCTCGCCCAGATTCCGTTAATGAATAAGGTGATAGTTACCAGAAACAATTAGGTCGTTTTCCTACAGGAAGTTAATTTGGTGCGGTAGTGTAAATTACTTTTCATTATTGCCATCAATCACCACGTAAGACAGGTGACAGCTATCAAACCAAACAGGTACAATCTTCCCATGTGCCTTCGCCAAGACAGACCAGTTACATGAGAGTGGCAAAGATGCTGCTTTTAGAGTTGAAAATGGTTGTATTAAAGGTTATGGCTCTCCATTTTGGACAGAATCGTTTGAATCTAGCAGACTTGATAACCAGGAACTCCATCACTTTAGACTTGGTGCTAATACTAGAATTCCAGTGCCCTCATCTAAATACCAGACATTCCTGAGAAAGTAGTGATAGTGTTAAGGCTATGGTGTCTGTAGGTCAGACTGTAGGTGGTGGAGAGTTCTTGGCAGTGTTTGTCAAGGTGAAGGCTACTCTACATTTACAATTACTCTGTGTGATTAGCTGTAACAGGGTTAATGCAGTATTAAGCCGTAATCACTCACTCACTCATAGATGGAGCTCTGGTTTCACTGAGGATCAGGGATATAGTGTAAATCTTTCTGATTGACCTTTCCGACCTAACCATCGTGCGATTATGTTCACATAGCCTTGCCTTATCTGAAACCCTTGGATTCACTTACTTGTATTATCCTCGTTCACCAATGGTCGCCAAATCCGTAGTCTGCAAGTTATAATGTTCTGGGTTAACAAAATCACATTCAAGTAAATTATTAGAAATCCCCAAAGTTTAATTTTTTCATGAATTATGCAGATGGTCTTTGGAATTTGATGGAATGACATGATGAATTTGATTTTGTGGGGCCGTCGGGTAGCCTTATGGTTAAGTGCTCGCTCGTCATGCCAAAGGCCCGGTGTAGCAGGCCATTTCTTCCCCGGTCTGAACCTTCCCCGGGAAGGTTTTGTCCTAGGATATTCTTACCCTGGGGAAAGTTTGGCCTAGAATAAAGTTTGTCCTAGGCCAAAGTTTCCCTGGGGAAGGTTTGTCCAGGGGGAAAGTTTGGCCTGTTACACCGATTCGATTGCCCACATAGGTGCAATGTATAAAGCCCATTTCTGGTGTCCCCCAGTGTGATATTGCTGGAATATTGCTAGAAGCGGCTTGAAACTAAACTCACTCACGCATTCATTTGATCTTGCATTCTCTACTGCACCCACATAGCTACTGTGTCTATTTGCTAGTATTAATAATTTCACATTTTGCAGTATGCAAAAGATAAACACTAAATATCTTAAGTAAAATAAAATGTTCATGCTAGCAGAGTATAAGTAGCAAAAATACCTTAAGCAATTTGTGACAAGCTGTAAAAGAACATATTGAGGCCATAATATCATTATTTTTAGGCTCGTTTCAGAGGGAGAGTGTTGAAAGTTTAAGAATAAATTCAAAATGATCTTAATAGGATCAGAAAAAATATCTTTAGGAGTATTCTCAACAAGTTTGAACAGAATCAGGTTGAGAGGAAGCGTGTTTGTCCACGCCCGTTTCCCTGTATTTGTTAAGCCCAGGATATATATAGCATAATGACCGGAGACGTTGGCAAGTATGAATGGTTGTGGCTTGTGTGGGGATTACATTTTGCACAGATTGCATTTTAATTGGGAATGACTGAATTGATAAGTTAGTAAATTGATACATATTTTTTAGGTTTCAACTTGGTATGAATTGGTATTTATATTCTTTGGTGGATGTATTGTTGTTT